TCGAAGCGCTGGATGACGTTCCCCACCAGCCGCCGCTGCACCGCGTCCGGCTTCACCAGCACCAGCGTCTTCTCCTGCAGCTCTGGGGGGGCTGCGCAGGGATGCAGGGGCCAGCGTCACCACCGGGCACGGGACACAGGTCGCCACCAGACGTGGGACACGGGCACGGGTTGCGGCAGCAGGACCCCAAGCTGCTCCTGGGGCACCACAGGTTGTTGCTCGGTCCCAGTGGGCAGCAGCTGCCATGGGGTGACCCTGTCCCCACCTGTGTCCCCATGCTGGGGCCATGTCTCCCTGACCGGGCCGTGCCTCGCAGACTAGTAGGGTCCCAGCAGGGACCCAAGGGGCAAGCTGGAAAGCCTGACAGGTGCTGGGGACACGTGCATGGCCAGGAAACACCCTTTAACCCAGCGTGGAACAGGCTGGCTCTGGTTTCGGCCGAGCACACCACCCCACCGTGTCCCATTGCTGGGGCTGTGGGTGCCACCCACAGCGTGCCATCACCCCTGCCTGGCCTCGGGTGCTTCCCCGTGCCCGGAGGCAGTCGGACACCAGCCCTGGCACAAAGCTGCTCCCTGGTCACAGCCCTCCACCGGTGGAGAGCAAAATGGAGCACTGTGGGATAGCAGGGTCTGGCATCGCCGTCATCCATGGCACCGTGGGATGGCAGGGTCTTGCATCGCCGCCTCCCCCCTCACCCTAAAGCTGGCCCCGCTGGAGCCACTCTGGCAGGAGGGGACACAAGTTCCCCAAGGGACAGTGCATCCCGTCTGCCGGAGGAGCAGAAGGGACAGGAAGAAGAAGGGAGAGGGAGAGAGGACACCAAGCCAGGGCATTTCGCTGCCAGCCCCAGTCTTCAGCGTTCTGTCCTAGGCTGTGAGGGTGGGCCGGCCCCGGTGCCGGGAGGGACAGAGCGGGATAAGTGACCGCACGAGTTCACCCACTTCTCTGGGCGTTGCTGGACATGGCCCCAGCTTTGCCAGACTCCCACCCCGTCGTCCCCCCAGGACAGGATGGGGGTGTCCTCATTGTGGCCCTGGGGACACCAAACCCCTTGGGACCTTCAGGGTGGTGCTGGGGGGAGCCACCAGTCTGGCCTCTGCCCCATCGTGACACACAGGACTCACACCACAAAGAAGTGAAGGACCCCATGAGCCAGACACCCTGCCTGGGGGGCTGCTCCTGGGACAGAGTGCTGGGGGACTGGGGGCACCAGGACGGAATGGGGCAGTGGGCACCGTGGGGGTGGGATGGGGACAGGAGCCCCAAGGGGCAGGACAGGCAGGGGACTGGGGACAGGATGGGGCTGGGGTCTTGGTCCTTGGGGCCAGGATGAGGATGGGGACAGGGTGCCCAGAAGCAGGACAGGGATGGGGAGTGGGTCCCCAGGGGCAGGATAGGGAAGCGGCTGAGAGCAGCATAGGGCTGGGGACGGGCTCCTCTGGACAGGACAGGGATGGGGACGGGGTCCCCAGGGGCGGGATAGGGAAGGGGCCGAGGACAGCTCAGGGATGGGAACGGGGTCCCCAGGGGCAGGACAAGGATGGGGCCAGGGTCCCGGGGCAGGAAGGGGCCGGGGGCAGGACGGGGCCCGTGTCTCACCGGAGCCGTAGCAGCGGGGCCCGGGGGGGCGGCTCGGGCCGGGCTGCCCCCGCAGCAGGCTCCGGGCCAGGCAGCGCCCCAGGGAGCCCATGGCGGGGCCGGCGGGTCGGACCTGGCCGCGGCGGGGCTCGGCCGCCCCGCGGAGCCTTTAAAGGGCCCAGCCGAGCCCGGGGACGGGTCAGGCTTCCGTCCCTCCCCTTAAAGCAGCCGCCGGGACCGGGCGGCCGCCGCGCCTGCACGGAGCATCCCGGGCCGGAGCATCCCTAGTACGGAGCATCCTCCCGGGCCGGAGCATCCCTGCTACGGAGCATCCCCCCCGTTCGGAGCACCCCGGTCCGCAGCATCCTCCCGGCCCGGAGCATTCCCGGTACAGAGTGTCCGAGCATGGGACGTGCCGGTCCAGAGCACCCCTCGGTCCGGAGCACCCCCCGGCACAGAGCTGAGCCTTTCCCTCGGTTGGGCTGAGCCTCAAGCCCTGCTGCGGTGGGAGCACAGCCTGCACCCATCCCACAGGTGAACCAGGGGCATGGGAGAGGGGCCAGACCCTGCCCCCTGATGCGCCCTGATGGTCCAGGCGAGGAAACACTCTGGCTTCGCCCCCACCAGCCTGAGCTGGGGTGCAAGGGAGGGTGGTGTTGTGGGGATCCCCCCAGCCCCTGTGAAGGGCTACAGCAGGGACCACCGGGGGCCGGTGCCCTCCCCGGGACACGGGGCTGCCCTGGGCAGGTAGTGGGTGCTGGAAAAGGGGTGCAAGGCTGCTCTTACCCTGCTCACTTGCAGCACTGCCCAGGTGGGAGCCCCTCTGCTTTAAAGCATCACTGAAGGCTGCAGGAAACAGGGAGGGTGACAGAAGTGACAGGGACAGAGGGACCAGGGCTCCTTCCTTCACCCCAGCCTGTGCCGAAGGAGGGAGATATCACAGGGAGTTTACGAAGCAGCGACAGGCAGAGCCCTGCACGTAGGAGGGGGGGATGCTCCTCTTCACAGCATTGCTCCAGCTCAGATTCAAGTTTTCCTTAGGGTTGAATTAGGTCGGTGAGGGAGCTCTGCCTATGCCCGAAGGGCAGGGGGAGCCTTGCAGGCAGGTGGGGGGGGGCTCAGTTCTCCAGCATCTGGTTTGTACAGACAGCCTCATCCCAGAGCCCACGGTGGGACATCACTCTTGATGGAGCTTCCCATACATCCCAAACTCCCGAGACAGCTCTTGGGAAAGCAGCTTGACGCAAACATTGCTATTAAAATATCTGCAAATTCATGGAAAATCCTGGTCACTTTGAGCCCGTTTCCTAAACCTGCAATAATTTAAACAAATCAAGGAATTGTATACAAGCAATTAATGGGCCATGAGGGCAGGGGGGCCGGGGGAGTCTGGACTCAAACCTGGCTCCAACCTGCATTTAGCTCCTCGTCCCCATCTCCTTCTTCCCTTCCTGCCTCACCAAGGTGGGGGGAATGGAGGGGGGAGGCCCAGCACCAGCCACAGCCTGGGGGAAGGGACATGGGGGCTCCAGCTCTTGCAAAATAACTTTTTGCTGGCCAAAAGTTGGTGACACCCCCCCAAACAGGGCATTCAGGATGGGAAAAGGCCCCTCCTCAGTGTCTGCTGAGCCAGGGGTGACAGTTACAGAGGAAGGGTTTTTTTGGGGGAAGATTAATGCAGCCAGATACACACAAACCAGGTGCCCTTCGGTATTTATCCAGCAAGCTGCCTGGCTCATCCAGAGGGCTGCGGTGCTGCAGCCAACCCTGCACTTCAGGTGATGGCTGGCAAAGGAGAAACAGCTTTTAGTGCAAGGGGTGGCAGGCTGCAGCCTGGGCTTTGGCCACCTTCCAGCTGCTGCCCTTGATAGAGGGAAGAACATGTACTTTCACCCTCTGTCAACCAAACAGTTTTGCAAGAAACAGAAGCACCACCAGCCCAGAGAGCCATACCGGGAGGGGAGCTGTGCCAGTAGCAGATGAAATCCCCTTAGCCCATCTCTGAAGGAAGCCACAGCCAGGGTGCTTGGTGAAGGTGGCGGCAGACAGCTACCACCATCCCCCACTGCAGCTTGGAGCAGGGCAGAACTGCTGTGAGTGACCAGGGTGGCAGCTCAGGAAGAAGGGGAGGCTCTGTGGACAGGTTTGGACCCTGCATCACATTTTCATACACCTAATTACCACCAGGAAACGCAAGGACTCAAAGTTTCTTTAAGTGCAGACAGTGACACTGTTCAGGTTCTGGCTGGCAGGGAGCTCAGTGCCTTCCAACTCTCAGGGAAGGTCAGAGCTCTGCAGTCTGGGGACAGATCATCACCCACTTTCACACTGGTCTTCAAACACCCAGGTTCACAGCCCACAGTTGCAAGGACTGTACCTGGCGAGGCATGACTCTGGTTCACGTGCAACTTCCAACTCAAGCTTCATACCCTCATTGCAGGGTATGAAGCCCAAACGTCAAACTGGGCCCAATTTGGACAGCCTGGATGCAAGGCTCTGTCTGTACACAGGTTATCCAAACAGCATACATTATCTCCAAACAGCAAACATGCACATCACAGGCTGTATCACAGGCTGTTTTTCACAAAACTGTAACTAAAGGAATTGTGGAGCAAGTGCTCCTACACTCTAACTCCCCTTTGATACCTCCCAGCTGTCCACATCTACAAACATTTAGGGGAGAAGAGCTCCTCCAGGCTTGCTCACTTCACAATGACAGATGCTGTTCCCACCATGCAGCCCTTACTGCAGCTGCCCTTGTAACCACAGAGAATTCAGACTGATGAAATGCTCTATACTAGCTACCTGACTAGAGACTTCAGGGGGAAAAAAAATAAATCCTTCCCAGCTGCATGAGCACAAGCCCCACAAAATCTGGTCCTGTCTGACTGGGGACTGGAATTTTAACCTTGTGCTCAGATGCCACTATCAGGTCATTCTGAGCCTTCAAGCCCAGGTCTCTGATGATGCAACACCGTGAACATTAAGACATTTCTTCCTGCAGGCAGCTCTTAATCAATTCAGACAACAGTCTGCTGGAGGGAATAAACAGATCACCACAATGGTAACAGAAAACATCAGGGAACACAGGTGGTAAACACAACGAGGGGAGAGTGCAGAAGGAAGGCAACACAGCTCCACACCAGTTCAGTACGGCACCTTTCAGGAGCTGTTGGACTTGCTGGCAGCCTGCACAGGGCATTTCTCCACTCAGGGCATGGTACGGGCAATGCAGGCACCTGCTGCTGGTCCTCTTGCCTGATCATGGGGAAAGGCTGCAGATGGCTGCCTGCATCACAAAATGCATTTTCATCTAGTAGAATGGCTTGGTGACAGACAGGCCTACAAGGAAACTAAAACAAGTTACAAGTTATTTAAAACAACAAAGTAAGCACTTTATTTCCATTAAGCATGTTGTTTTAGTATCACAATGGAATGATGAGAAAACTTTTAAAAAAACCAAAAAGTCTCTAATCCCCACAAACAGCAGGGAGGTTTTCAAGGCAATTTAAAAACAAAGGGAGTGACAGAAGTGCCAAAACAGTCCCAACATCACGAGACTCCTCCTCCAAGAGCTGGGCAGGGGCAGGAAGGTGGAATGACACGAAGGTACGAATGTCTGAAGTAGTCTTTGGCGCTTCTGCCTCACGTTCAATACGTACATGATCTCTCAAGACAACTCCACAGAAATCTCTGGACGCAACAAAGTGCTACGTTAGTAGGACAAAACCCCAGCAAGAGGACTTTCTGTACAGTTGAGATGCCCTGTGGTTGGGCGTTAAGACACATCCTGCAGACAGTGCTGACTCCAGCTGCGGGCCTTTGGGTTGGGAGAGAAAAAACGAAGCGTGGTGCGTGAATCCAAGAAGATGTGCCCATGTGCAAGACACTGTGTCCTGCAGTCCTGACAAAACCAGGGAGGAGAGAAGGTGGTGGCAAAACAAAACATGGATCCGTTCCCTACAGTGATCAAAACACGAGTCCAGTGCAGTAACTATAGTTTCACAGTTCCAGGGGGCAAACTGTCATTGCAGAGTCTGTAGTAACGCAGGTCATTCACCAGTCTGTGCACATTCTGGGTAAACGATGGCAGATCCTGGAAAAGATCAAACAACACATTGTACTGCAAACAGAATGACACCTACAAGCACTGTCTTACAGCAGAGAACAGAAATGAACCGACAGGGCCAAACACCCACGTGTATTTTCTCAGAGGAGAACAACAGACTCCTTCCTCCAGAGTCTGAGCCCAGGAAACCCGAGTTTCTGCAGCCCACGTACAGGGAGCAGAGATGGCTCCAGAGCTGCTCCATGCAGAGAGCTGACTGCAGAGGTGTGGGCTCTGTTCACGGCACCGGCTTCTCGTAGTGCAGTCAGGCACTACACGAATGGTCATGACGTGGCCATCTGCAGCAGCAACTGCTCACTGCATTCCCACCAAGGCTCCTGGGTGCCACGTACCCCATAACAAGGGCTAACCTTCCTGAAGAGCAATTGCCATCTGGAGTCCAGTGATTCTCTCAAGGCTCCTTTCCTACGCTCACCCTTGGTCTCAAAACTCCATCTCCCACGGGAGAGGAAGCACTCAACAGACAAGCAAGCTTCAGCAGATGGAAGCCACAGCCTGCTGCACTGCCATGATGTTCCATAGGGAGGTTATAGACCCCCCATTTGCTTCACATGCGTATGAGGGGTTTGAAAGAATTGTGAGCGATTGCAGCTACTCTGCTGTTGTCTTCACTGTAACCCTCAAACATCTGGCCAGCAGCTAGAGCGAGATTTTGGCAAGGATCTGAGCGTCCCACTCAAAAAAATGTCAGTCTACCCCTATGAAAAAACTTCCTCCAGGAAACATATTCCCTAACTCTCACAGCATTCAGCAGTCTGAGAGATGAGATGGCAGTTCTGCTACCTACAGTGAAAAATCCTTGGCTAGGCATTGCTGAGTATGGAAGCATTTGGAATAAAAGGTACTACGTCATAACACTGCCCTGAGAAGCTCACAGCTGCCTGCAAGTGTGTTCTAGAAGAAAAACTCTGCACATCCTGGGAATACTGGCACTCTGCTGCAGTGTTTCCCCTTCTTACCCTGTCCATTTTGAAATTCCTTCCCAGCACATTTTTCTGGTTCGAGTCCACACCATCACAACTGGCCAGGAACTCGGGGAGAAAGGCTGAGTAGAAGCCATCAAAGTCCACTGAGGCCATATTGTAGGTGGCAATGCCGATCTCCTCCTGCAACAGGTCATGCGACTTGTGGACAAGCACCTGAAGTAGCACATTCACAAACTGGAACAGCATGGTTGTGCGGAAGATCTTCTGCATAGTGAGAGAAGCACACAGTTAGAAGTCTTCCAAAGCTCTTGTGAGCACAGAGGTAATTTTCCAAGCCAAGATCACAAATGACTACAGAAAGCTAGATTAATATCAGCTTTAAAGTCAACAGGGAATTTGGCCACACTTACCTCATGCATCTGACCCAAGTTTTAAGCATTGGCATTTAAGCAAACAGCATTGAGTCCCATTCAAACTCCAGCCAGTTTAACCCTGCACAGTGCTCCTGAAAGCCAGGGAATCTGGCTAGCTGCCTGGAAGTCCACAACAGGCAGCTGTTAACATGATGGGCTGTCCTTCAGTTGTGACCACAGATGTGAACCTGAAAGCCCTGCTTTCACATGCTAACCAGAAGGGCAAGACCCTGGATTCCAACTTTAATCCTTCATGACAGCAGCTAATAGGTTTAAATTAGACAGTCTGGAGGATGGGTCCTACATGACAGCAATGGAGACAACCACCTGGCAGTGACTTGACTGCAAATTCTAGATACCCCGCTGCTGACCCAGATGAGAATGCTGGAGGGACTCCACCATGTCAGTCTGACCAGCAACATATCCATCGGGATCACAGCAACCAACCAAAGGCTGTGGCATAAAAGCCCCCAAAACCTGACCTTCAGTTTCCGAGTGGTTTAAAACAAGTCTCAGAACAGCACCTGCCTGTTACCACACACAGAATGTACACTGGTCAACTGAGACCCACCTTGTGGTACAGCTTCTGCTTGGTGTTCAGTGTCTCCAAGTAGAAGAGATTCTGCTTGAACAGGTGAATGTCAGGTTGCAGGAAGGACTGGCCAAATGCCTACGAACAAAGGAGAATTGAAGGAAGAGGACTGACATTATAATGAATATCAGACCTGTCAGGCAGAACAACATCATTTTCACCCTGACACCAGAACAAACCCCTGGGAGCCTCTGCTGCTTCTCAGTGCAGCAAAGTAACAAGACAGGCAGTTGTTTAAGTCAACTGTGCTGCTGCCAGACCAACAGGAATGAAGACATTTTAGTGGAAACATGGTCGTATCTTTGCAGAACAGTTGCTAAGCTGGGTCTGTTAGGAACAGGTGGGCCAAGGTTGCACTGAAGAGGAACACAGATGCTGAGCACAGCTCCCTTGGCAGCCAGTTTGCTCGTGAAGGATTTGGCTGTTTCTCGTGGGTGCTACCTAAGGCAGCACAGTAAGCATGAACAAAACCAGAACACGCACACAGGTTTTGTTCTCAATCCAAGTCAAAAGACCAAGGTGACCGGCAGATGCATGTTACTGCACTAAACTAGAAAGAAGTTAGAGATGGGAGCTGGGAGGCTAACCTGGGCATTACAGAAGCAGTAAAGAGTTTAGGAACAAAATTTGCTGGATCCTGCTGAACTAGTCTGGTAGGCCTGCACAGACTGTGATAAGACATCTTTTACACCCTGAACGCCTCTGACACACTGTACAGGTGATATAGGCAGATAAGGTAAGCTCTGTACAGAGACAGGCAGCAGAATTTTACCAGTTCCTGCTTCAAGGCATCACAAACAGAAGAGTTCATTCCTCCAGACCAGCCATTTACTGTTAAATGGACAAAAATGGCCCAAGTCCCTTCAAGACTGAGCCAGTTCTGGACTCAGATCTCTGGTAAAAGCCAGCACAAAAAATATTAATATTCTCAACACAAAACACTGGCTGTGTGGAGAAGTGTGGAGAACATTTACAGAACATTAAATAAGAGTTTTGTATGAAAACAACAGGAGCCAAGTAGTAAAACAAGTAGTTCAGTATTGCCAACCAGCCTGAAGTTAATACTGACATTACCATGAAAATATCTTCCAAAACAAGGCACTCAGGTGAGTTTGGAAGTGTTACACCGCTACAGGTGAAAGAGAGATGCTTGGACAGCCCTGTATAGGGACCAGCTTGGGCCTCATTCACATCAAAAGATGCCAAGGTAAGCAAAGGCCAGAGAGAAACACCAATACAGTTTATATCAGTGCAAGAGCTCCTTCTTCACTCATGTATCAGAAGGGACCCAGTCTCCAGAAGCACTCCATGATGGGGCAGCTCCGCAAAGAGTCCTCCCACCTGAAGTCTAAGCACATAGCTCTCCACTCCGGCATTCACTGCTCTCGGAGGAGCAGGCCCTACTCTGAGGTTGCAGAGCATGGTGCAAGCACACTTCTGTTTACACTGACATGGGATGGAGGTGAAGGGCCTCACACCAGGTACTCTGACAGCAGATTAGGAGGGTGATTTTTTTCTGATTTTACTTTAAGTTGCACTACCTGTTTTGGGGACAGTTCTTATATCTAGGAACTGGACAGGAACTCATTTGGCCAGCTCTGACCTAAGTAACATATGGAATACAGTCTGTTATTCTTAAAAATTCAAATTCCCCAACCTGAGAAATAGGTGCTGGCTCTGTGTACGTGCTGGCACACTGCCTATGCCTTCTCTATTCCACAGGCCAAAAAGCCCATTGGATATTACCCCACTGACCCTTCTCTACCAGATCCAATGGTACAGCATAGAACAAGTCCATTTAAACCAAAAGACTTCTTGGTCTCAGGAGAAAAAAAACCAAAACAAAACCAAAACAAAACCAACAACAACAAAAAAACCCAGAAAAAAACAAAAACCAACTTTCCTGCACTGTCCTAGTGCTAACCACAAGACTTGTAACAGAAGTAAATGGGTCAGCATCAGTAATGTATTTTTAGGTCCAGATGCAGGATGAGGCATGGAAAGAAATTAACATTCCTTCCTCACTGCTGGCTTCCCTGCGCAGTGAGGCACTGTGCCTTGTGAGCACATCAGCAAGACCACTCTGCAAGTACTTTGATTTTCAGCAGTTCCTGAAGGCAAGACCTCACTCAGGACATGGTCTAGCCCCCATCACCTACATGTTTAATGCACTGCCACAAGTAGCGTATGCTCCATTGCAGAAAGGGTTCTGGACAACTGTGGGAATAGCTTGAGTTACCTGCATAATGGCACTGAACTGTGCTTCGTTCTCCATCTGCTCTTCTGCTACTCCTCTTTGGACACTAGCCAATACACTAGATTTGAAGAAGTACCGCCAATTGTGGTGGAGGACCCGGAAAAGCAGCTCAAATAACTCTGCTTTCACATCAGGAGATGAGCGCTAGGAGGAAAAGAGAACAAACAACTCAAAGCAGGTTCCTGTGCTGGAATCCCACTCAGCCCCTGGATCCCACTGCTAGCAGCACCCTGTCAGGTGGCCACCCAGGGCAGTACTTCACAGCCAAGGTACCAGAGCATCAAAGCATTTCCTCCTAAGGAAGGCATCGAACTCAGCAGCTGTTGGATCATGCTAAGAACACATCACCGAGTTTTGAGTTTTACCTCCTGCTTTGAGCACATCCGTAATTTTAGCCTCTCTTGACAATTCCTGACAAAATCCTCCACCCACACTGCTTCCAATTCCCACTGACTAGTCACCCAGTTTTCCCTGCACAGGGACTGACATTTACAGCTCTTGGAAAGCAAAAAGCTTAATTGCTCCCACAACCCCGGCAATGCCTTCCTTCCTATCTCCCCCTTCCTACACCTCGTGCGAGAACAGCCCTACCTCTGCAATGATAGGGTAGACCTGCTCCATGCACAGTGAGATGACGCTGGGTAGAAAAGGCTTGAATACTTGGCCCGGCTCTTGTACCACCACTTGCAGTATTTTCAGAAACTTCTCCACCACCCGACAGCCAGTGCTGCCCTCATGGAGGATGCTCTCTGCCAACTGCTCCCTATGACAAAAACCAGTCATTGCATAGGAACCTTCCCAGTGATCTGCATGCTTACTTAATTTACAGGAAAGCAGGTAGTGCCTCTGAACTTGCTCAATTAATACAGGCCAAGTACATTAAGCCAAAGGGAGTTGGGTTTTGACTGAGGATTTACAGACCCCCCCCTCCCCAACAAAAGCTTGAGTGATAGTTGGGGGACCCTCAGATCTTGGGTAGGAGCTAATAGGCAATGCGAGAGTCCAGTTCAATATCACACACTTCCAGAAAGTCTGTGGGAGAACTGAAATTGCATGATGGCATGTATGATTGATGTGCATGGGCTGGGTCACTTCAGACTTGGAAGCATTTTCCTCAGATTTAGTCCTGGGACATGACAAAAGTCTGGAAACACTACACTCTTTAGGGGCAGAGACCTATTGAGTGAGCAGCTTACTGAGATAAATCATCCTGAGGGATAAGAAAGAAGTGACGAACATGGGACAATACCTGGTGAACATATTTAGGAAGGTCTGTATGATCTGCTCAGTGAAAGGCACTCCCATCTGCACCCTCAGTCCTTGAAACAGAGTGAGGAAGAAGCTCAGCATCTCATCTGTCACATCTAAGATAAGAACAGGAAAGCAAAAAGAACATGTTAAGGCAACATTCAAGTGCATCAATAAGTCTTATATGTAAGATTTGCTCCTCCTGTACAGGGAACCTCATTTACTCTTGGAAATTTAGCAGCAGGGTTGCCATTAGAAACTGAAACCAACAGCCGGTACTATAGGGCTTAAAAACTGTTCATCCATTTCTGAAAACTGCCAGGGATGACAAGTACAGGCAGCATCAAGCAACTCAGAACAAAACGATACTATCAGCAAGACCCTTAGTCTGGTTGGCCTACACAGAGTGCTTGGAGAAAGCTCTGGCAATGGTCTGGGCTGATCTCCAGTTGCTCACTGCTTGTACAGGGTTAACAGGAAATACAAGGAAATCCAAAACAGCTACACAGCTTGGGGTGGCTTAGGAAACAGAATCCAACTTTTTTTTTTTTGGCAGGAACTGAAAAGACCCTTCTAACTTCAGAAGTCATCTTCAGCCTGTGGTTATGCAGTTAGCTAATCAGCACTGCAGCTAATTCTTCATCAGTCCCAACATGCTTTATTGAATAACCACAGTAAGCTGAAGCTGCTCAACTCCTTCATACAGCCTTTTATAGCCAATAAATAGCAACTGCATGAGGCTGCTAGCCTGTTCTGAAGACAACAGTTCACTGCAGTCACAGCGTCAGCTTGCCATCTTGGATCCTCTCTGCATTTCAACTTTGTTTTGCCTCCCCCATGCCTGCTTCGCCGAGAAAAATCCCACCAAACTCCAAAAGTTTTCCTTGAATGCCTTGCTCTTCATGAGAGAAGCTGCTGTAGTCCTAGGCATTTGAGCTACCCTGATGCGATACAAAATCTAAGTCACTAGCCAGAAGATTGCCAAGCAACAGTCCTGGTTACATCTGAGGAGCCTTTCCTTTATAGGGGGAAAAAAACCCCACATCATTTGACCTCATCTGATGAGATCTACTCCTCTTCAAGCTTTTGGAGAGAATGTAAATGGCAAACATAGCCAGACAGGGTATTTTAAAGCTTTTTTTTTATTATTTGTGCTTAGGATCAGCTCCATTTTGTTTCACTGCTGAACACAGCACAGGGCATCTCCATCTTCTGGAAGTGTGACAAACCTTCATGCCTGTATCCTAGACAGCAGAGGAGATCTCACTTTCCTGTTCTGATTCAGCCCAGCCCGCCCAGAAGTACAGACTCACATTACACTTCAGGCACACCAAGTCCACACACTTCACATGAACACCACCATGATGCTATGCTGATGGACTTTGGATATTACCAGTAGGTCATAAAGCTACTCACAGCATTAAAGCCTGTCCTATGGTTATACCTGACTGATGAATGAAAGCTGGGAAGAGGGCTAGTGAGACCTGCACGGATTCTTGCAGCGACTGATAACAGATCTGTCGAGACTTGGTAGATTCTCCAGAGATACTTTCTACAATATCTTCTAAAACGCTGAGTGTCTGATGGATGATCACTTTGGCTGCAAAATAAGAGAGATGATACTTCCTGCATGTGTCAAAACTACTCAGAGGCAAGAAATGAAGAGAAGTCAAGTTCACACACAGTAACTACAACCTACAAGGCAGCATATACACCAAACCCAGGTTGGAGTCAAAAACGTTCCCAAGTTGGTGTTCATGTTTTAAACATCTAAACAGGTTCAATTAGGTCACTCACTTTCTTAAATTATACAGGTTTACTGCCCTACAGATGCACCCACTGCTCAACTACTCAGGTGCAAATGCTGAGGAGAGCTGTAAACAATATTATTCACAATATGCTAATACTAAAGAAACACTAGCCAAGAAGAAAGCAGGACATTATGACAGCAAAATACACTGCAGATTTCTATTTCTGAAAGCAACAACTGGAGCAATACACAATCCCTGTATAAGCTAACTCAAATGCTGAGAAAACTTAACTGGCTCAGTTCTACCCATGTGAGCAGTCTGCTGATATTCTTCTCATGAGGAGCAAACCACCCTCTCCCATGCTCCCTCCCTGTGCACAGCTGACCATCATTGTCAGGTTAGTCAGAAGCTGTGACACTGCCTACTTTTTAAAGCAATGCTCAAAAAAAAAAAAAAAAGACCCACCCAGCCCCAGCCCACCAAAAGCAGTCCCAAAACATACACAAAAAATTCCCAAGGTCCCTGGACCCCCTCAGTTCAGGGCTCTCCTACATATATAAACCCTCTACAGTACTCCTCAAGTCCAGAAAAAAATTCTTATTTTCCCCCTTAAGTATTTATAATCATAATCTTCATTAATGCTGCCTCCAGGCAATGTTTCTAATACTATAGTGTCCCAGCATTAGGCTGTCAAGTATTCCTAATGCAATCACTGCTATTCAAAGTTTTATCACAAACTTGATCCCACCTTCCCTGCACGACTGAGGAAGACAGTACTTTGATGGAAGAGCTTACAGGCAACCTGGGGTGAGAGTGCCCTTTACACACCCACAGAAGAAGGATTTCTAAAAAAAGAAAGAAAATACAAATTGCTCCTTTCCTGTCCTCCCCATATGCTAAATACAGTTTCTCAGCCAAAATAATTATTGGAAAATCAGCTTGATGACACCTATTAGCAGTTTGCACTGCAGCTGTCAGAAGACAGCACGCACCAAGAAACTCGGTACTTACTGTCCTCCAGCTGCACTTTCCTCTGTGGCAAGATGGCATTGGATTTTAATTGGCGGTATTCTCTTGTGAGGGCAGAGATTAGGCTGGCATGGTTGGTGGAGCGAACTGCCCACTGCTGTTCACTCTCTGGAAGATTTGGCCAGGGCAGCAACAATACATTCGACAGTGCTCTGCACACCAACACCTGGGCCTAGAAGCAATGAGACATTAAGCAAAGAGACGAAGTTTTACCATGTTTGCAGTTCAGTTTTCGCTAGAGCACAACCCTAGAGTGAAGTGACATTTTACGTCTGTCCAAAACATCAGCAGTGCTCAGTTTGAGGAAAGAGTTCGATAGCAGAAGGTAAGCCCAAGTGAAAACTAGTAGCTCTGCAAGGTAAGAGAGAAGCAAAGCTCCATGACTTAAGGGCTGGAATCAGCTCCCAGCTCTGTCAGCCCTTCCCTGCAATGGTAAGTCCCTGTTCTTCATATTCATAAACCAAAGATGATACCACTTTCATTACTCCTTGTCTGGTTTGCACACTTACACTTGTACAACACTTTATGCCTCCATGCCAGCACACAATACAACAATATCCCAGCCTTCACTGTGGCTTTTCAGTACTTCTGTAATAGAAATACTAACTTGGAGTGAGGTATGTGGAATGCTAACAAGTTTCACAGAAAACTTTCTGTATGTTAGAATCAACATGCCTGTACTATAAAGATGATGCAGAATCAGGGACTGTGTCAGCAAGTGAGAAAGGAATAAGATCTAAGAGGTGCAACTGTGTTTTTTCCTTATGCTGTTGCCTGAAATAGATCATTACTGACAAACTGTATCACTGTGATTCCTGGATATCCACAGCACAGAGATAACTGCTGCCCCTGCCCCCACTTTTTTTTTTTTTAATGAGGTTATACCTCACTGCAATAAGAAATGAGGTACACCTTCCCAAGAACATCCAATGTACATTCTTTATGTTTGAGACAAATCACCTTATCAGGAAGCCGCTGAGCAGAAGTGTCTGTGATCCTGTTGAACACCTTCTGTACTGCTGGGATGCTGATCAAGAACACTGGTCGCACTGTGGTGGCTAAAGAAACTAGCAGGTGGCATGCAGACAGCAGTAGCTTCTCCTGCACCTGAAAGAGAGGGTGGTCAGGCTGCCCAGTAACACCACCACACAGAACCATATGATGCAACACTGGCAGCAGACAGCACAGTGAGCTGCCATTACCAGTTTTCTGCAAGCAAGACAGTTTATAGTATTTATTTGCCAATCAGAGCACAGGTCAGTTCCCTTAATACTGTGGAAGAGAGATTTCCCCGCTTTCAAACTGTAAAATCATTAGACTGAGTTTGTATGCCTGTAAGTTGCTTACTCTCATAGTAGCTTGACCTACAGTGCTATTTAGAATTGCTCTTGGTCTCATCCTACATGGGACATTTGCTGTGGCTCTGGAAGATGGACATCCAGCTCTCGGACTGTTTCACATCAGGAGCCACAGTGTGGTCCAGAGCAGACTGTTAAACACCTGAAGACAACAGCACTGCCATGTGAGGGTCTCCTGCTTTAGGTGGAAGCCTAGCCTCAGCCCAGCACTGAGAAAGGTACCTTAGAGCTGATGAGAGGTGTGATAGCCTCCAGCGTGGTAGAGACCAGAGAGATGAACTGCTCCGGGTTCTGCCGGTGAACTTCGCTGTAGAACTGTGCAAGCCAGTGCGCATAGGCTTGCAGCGCTGCCAGGGACTGAGCGTGGCTGTGGAGGAGCAGAGCAAGGGTAAGATACATATGTGGGATAAAAGGTACACAAGCAGGACAGCTGCAGAAGGGCACAAGTCCTGAGCATAGTGGGTAGTTTTGACAGCATACTGGGAAAGAATATTGGTATTCTTAAAGCTGGCAGCTTTTTCTTTAAAAATTGTTTACTACTATTTTTTTTTGTCCTGGACCCTGTACATTCAAGGCGTATTTAAAAGTGTGCTGTAACTGGACTCACCCACTGAGCAACAGCATTAAGCCAAAGGTATAAATTGCTACAGGTCAAATCATAATCAACTAGTAGGTTGACCACAACCATACTTTATAATTTTTGGCACAGCACCACATTAAGATATTTGATTTCTTTGCGACCACGCAGACAGGTGTCCTCCAAATGTCTGACAATGTACCTTTGTTAGGCTAGCATTAGAAAATGGATCATAGGTTTCTTCAGGGACATTGGACAGAGAAAAGGATGAAAACTGCTCACTAACGGATCATGGAAAAAAACTCCCAAATTATTTTAAACCAGAAAAGGAAAGAGACCATTAGAAGAACATCATCTGCACAAAACTCAGTGCTAGTAACTTGGGATTATTAGGAGAAATCCAGGTAACTATATGATGGAGTCAAGTGGGGGTTTTCAAGGAGCTGCTATACATGCAATTGCAAACTAGAACAAGTACTTAACGTGCTCAAAAGGACAACCTTAAATTTTGCTCACAAAACACCAGCTGGCAGGAAACAGGTTTGTACTACACAGCCTTAGGAATGAAAGGTCTCTAAAAGGCTGTCAGAGTGCTGTTCTATTACTAGCAGCATCAAGATTTTACACTTAATGTCAACTTCTGGATCGAAGTCATTCATTTGTTTCAGAAATGGCTCGCAGAGCTGGAAGGCATATGTTTGTCTTTGAAGCAAAGGACTTGAAACCCTATACTAGGAAAAACATCTTTTACCTGAGCCATAGATCTGACTTTGGTAGCAAAAAAATCCATAAACTGGAACTACATACTGACAGTGAATCCATTTCTTAGAATACCACTATTGTAACGCTTACATCATCATTTAATTACACTGCAGAAGAACTAAGCTTTTACAGCCATTAGTACAGGGCAGAATAACAGCTTGCTTTTAGAGCTAATAATAATGGGCATTTTTACTTCTCATCATGAATATATTTTTCTTTAAATAACCCGAGTACATGAATTTAAAGAAACAATGGTCCAAAATACTTGGCAGCAGCCTTGACCTTCATCAGTTAAAAGAAGGTGCTTTCCTGGTTAGCTAGCAATCACTGGAGAGATGCGTTTTTCAGAACATTTGCCAAGCAAGCGGTTAGAACGCCAGACCAAGGAGATCTAATGCCTCACCCACCCCATGTAGGTACCAAATTTGGATACAATCATTTGCAGTGTCTATCTCATACTCACACATCGATAAGGTCAGGTTTCAATACAGATGGTACTGCAGTTTCGATGTTGTACAGTTTAATCTGGGATCCATATAGCGTAACTTTTACCAACCTGGAAGTGAATACATATGTGGTAGTGTAAAGGGACTGTAACATGGATATACACATGTACAAATCCGCTTGAACATCTCATCTGAATGCAGCTCTTCACAACTCTGTGTCAACATTTAGTTAATACATAGACAAGATTTAGACCATTTAGTTGAAAATAATTTAGAGCCTATTTCACTGTTTGTGATAAGATGGAACAAGTATGATGTTCCTGTCTGGGAATGAAAAAACAGAACCAAGGCAGCTGTGTAAAGCCCTGAAATTCTGTAATTTGCAACTATATGCTAATTAAGTTTCTTGGAGGGGAAGAACCTAATGACATCTGCCTTTCAGTTTTCACAGGTCAAAGATTTTGGTGATTTAACTTCGAGATACAACTTTGAAGTAATCAAACTCTACATCTCATTTCATTGCATCACAAATGCAGATGCTAGAAAACAGGTACCTCAAACTTTCTAAGTGACTGATTTTACTTAATCCCTCCTATTTAGTTATTTCTTTGGTTAAGTATTTAGAAAGCTATCTGGGAAACTTAGCGCTGATGAATTAAATGTAACTGGCCATTGAGTTCTTCGTATCTCAATTTAATCAGAACAAGGGGAGGCAGAAAGAAACCTTGGTTTTCAAACTCACCGCAGTGGTGACAATTGCTCCTTGTACTGGTGAAGAGACAGCAAACTCCCCCTCCCATACCTACCTCTCCACCACTGTAAGAGCATCATTGAACCTGGCAGCAAACACATCACCAGTGAAGTATTCTGCTAAACGACCAACAGCCTGCAGCAAGGAGCTCAGGTCCCTCAAGGAGCAGTGCAAACGGCGGCAGTCATTCTCTGCCGTGATGTTCAGCCTGTGACCTGAAATGACGTTATGGTTCATTAGCAATGAAGCCAAAAGACTAAAGTGTAAATAATCACTTGTGCTAACAGCCACTATGAGCCTAGCAATCTGAAAACTCATACTTTAAAAACCTTGTGCCAGAAAAACACACATAACCTTGTGACTAATAAATACAGCTCTTTGGGACAGGAAACCTAATTACAAAGCTACAGGAAATGCAAAGTTTATTCTAATTACATTACAAGCATTCTTCTTAAATTAGCTTGGCAGTGGGTCATAGTTCAAATCTCCAAGTGACTGAAATACTCAAACTGAGTAAGACAAGTTCAACTCTTCCAGCTGCCACACTTCATATTCCTCTTTAAAGGCTGAAATGGATGTTACCAACTGTTTCATCCTTTTACACATTTCTTTTCTTCTAATTGGTACTAATAACTATGTAAAAAGGAGCCTTTTTGGTTATCCATTGACATTAAAATGCAATCCCAGCTCTGTGGAGAAGGTCACTACCCGGACTCCCTCTGCTGGCTAGAGTGCAATTAGCATTCCAGCAGCAGCATATTTGGAACAAGAGTGTATTTGCTTCTGATGTGAAGCATGGTTATTCACTTTCTTATTTCTCAGCTATAAGAAACATATTGATAAGTAGATCTGCCAGTCTTACCACCTATGTAATTGTCCTACCACTTGGCTGCATATACCTGGGTCTCCAAGCACTCCAGACCTTTTACTAAAAAAGCAAACACGTCCTGCAACACCACATTTCAAAGAAAATCTGTTTTTCTTTCCACTGCCTGTATTTAATCTCGGATTAAGTTTTCAGCAACAAGCTTGCCATTTTGTACCACTGGCACCAGCATACTATCATCCAGTTCTGAATTCCCAGCTGCATCTGAGCTACTTCTGATCTGTCAGCTAAACAGCCAGCCCACATAATAGCTTCTAATACAGATTGTTGCTACAGCATTAAAAACTTATACATTGCATATCCTAGGTCTGAAATGATCCTAAAATTGGAAGTACTTTTTTCCTGAACTGTCTACACAACAATCACCATTCTGCCATGTATAGCAGTATTGAATATCTAACAGATTCCTGTACTGGTCATACCAAAAAACTTGAATATAACCTTAGCCACAACCTTCCCCCATACAGATCTCACTACTACTACTTTCCTTATTTCTCAGCAAGGAGCAACAAAGCTACGCTCATGCATATTCAGTTGAGAGCACTGGTATCTTTGTAAACTACTTTATACATGAAGGCTCCCGAAACGCCAGCTGGATAAGGCTTCAGAAACTGCTACTACATCCTAAATATTTCATCTTCTCATTGATTCACAATGGTTTTAATTCAAGCCTAAATAAAAATGCTCCTATAGTGGACAACTTCACACCAGATTTGAGCCCAAAGCAAACAGGAGTGCAACCTTTTCTTGAAATAAATTTTAGTGGGAGGAAAAAAGTAACCATTATCCATCCATGTTAGTGTAGTATTTGATGCTGCATACCTGTTCTTAACACATACAGTATCTTCATTTCAAGTACTAGAACAAGGGAAGAACCATCCCAATAAAAAAAATAAATCACATTATCAGATTTTTGTCTGCTATTGGAGTTTAACTACTGAGCCATTAGACACCACAAGTATTCAGATCCTCAAGAGAATACGGAAGCAGCAACACCAAAGCAGGTCTAGAGTGGTTTTGCAATCAGCTATTCAAAGAGTGAGGACGGCAGTGCTGGGTGGTGGTTGTTACCTGTTCCTGAAGTGACCACAAACTGCTGGAGTCCCAGATACACTTCCAAGTTATCCTGCAGAACTGGAAACTAGAAGAGACAAGAAACAAGCATGATTTTGGGGCTTGGCAGACAGTTAACAGCCTACTACTGATCGCTCTGTTAGAGCACAGTTTTCTTCTTTCTCCCTAGCACCTTCAAAAAGACATTTGGAGAAAAGGCAAGTTGCTTGTTCTGGGCTGATCCTGCATGCCACAGCTTCTCACGTCTTGACAGCTGTCATGAAAACAACAAAGGTCACCACTCTGGTGTCGTAGCTCCCCTTTCCCACAAATACCAGCAATCAGCCTAGTAAGATAATGGTCTGACAAGTATAAGTGATGGCACAGCATGCCACCTCTGAATATACAGATGGATGTATAACCCGGACCAAACAGAGCAGAGGAAAGGCAGAGCCTGGAGCGCAGGAAGCCTGCATGGCATCCACCTCACCCATAAGTACCAGTGTCTCAAAATGCAGCTAACCAAAATATTATTCAAAGAATTTGAGTTCAGTGCCTCTGTAACAGAGTACAGAAGGGAAGTACTGCAGTGCTTTGCCGGTGAGCTGAAGCCCCATGGGGAAAACAGCCAAGGGAGCAAACACCACAGTTGTCATGCATCCTGGTCTGGGAACAAAGCATTAGCCTAACTCCATCATTCAGGACTGACAGCAAACATGCCTGATTCTGGTGATACTTCAGCTGAGCAACAGGTTACGCTACCATGGAGGAGCGTATTGTGCACACAGACTAGGAAGCCTTCTAAGCAGCTTTCAGCCAGCCAAGGTACTTCAGTGATCTGTATTAAGAAATTATTTGTGCTGTACCTGAATGCATTTGTACACATACAGGACAAAATTGCACACTAACCTTTTCCTTGTAGGCATCCCATCAGACAGAGTATTTTCCAACACTTTCAGTCTGGCATAGTTCTACTTAATTTCTATTGGCAAAAGTCACCACATTTAAGGTGGTTGGTTTTATCAAAGTTCACTCATCCATCAGCAGAAGGAACTGCAGCCTTTCATTGTCCACCATGGGACACAGTAATGGCAGCTGCTGTACACTGTTTTAATTATTTGCTACTGATAGACTAGCCACTGCGTTCAACAGCACTGCAGACTACTGTGAAAAGCACGTGAAACTGCTTGAGCATCTCCCAGATTATCCAGTAAACAAAAATGAACTAATGCAGGGCTCAAGAAAGCACTCACTATCAAGTTTCTAACATGCCGTGCCTAATTAACAGTTGAATGTCTTTGTATAACTGCAGGAGAACTATTTAAAAAAACCCAAACAGATAGTCTTCCTCATGTTAATGTGTTACCTTAAGGAAGCCACATGCTCTTCACCATATGACCCATATGCTCACTGTGCTCACTGAAACAGCTGCTCCATTTGTTTGCCTCTTGCTGACTCATGCTGTGCCACCACGCTGCAGAGCAACTTCTACTTTTGTATAAGGACTATTTTGTTCACTACTTCAGAGTTTCTGGTAATAGGCTTCTAGTGCTTAGCTCAGCCAGAATGTTTTTTAAATAAAAATAAAAATTAAAAAAGCAGTTCAGGTCAGGCATCTTCTGCCTCTGCAGCAGCTTAATCTTCTCTGCTTCTTGGGAATATGGTTCAGAGGTCCAGGTCTGCAGTGTCTCCAGCAGAATTAACAGACTTGCTTTGAGATCCCACTACGATTACTTGCCTTTCTTCTCACTCAGCAAGAAGGCACTAACTACTCTGAATTTTGGACTCCACTGGCTTACAGCCTCGAGATCTCCTCCTCAAAAACCATTATAATGCTACAAACCCAGACAACTTTTATACCGCCGATTCTAGCAACAGCACTGGCACTAGCTGGAGAGAAGCACTTATCCATGTTTATCAGATATAATTCCCAATTGTCCGAGGCTCTCTCTTCAGCATTTATATGTAGCCTTTCATTTAAACAAAGATTTCACTCTCCTTAAAACCCCAGTAACAACGCTCTCGTCTGCCCAATTCACAGCACTGCCTCCTAATATAAAGGCCAAGATAAACAGCAATGAAGGATTGATTGCTGCCAAATATTTACACTTTGAGAGATGGGAATTTCTAAAGAGTTTAGTGTCCAGCAAGTAGGACTTGGATGCTCACTAAAGTACTCTCTTCAAAACACACCACGAAATCTGGCAAAGCCAAAAAAACCCAAGTTTTTTTTTCCTTCAATTTCTGGTCTCCCCTTGCCAAGGTTTTGCATCCAAAACCAAATCTCCCTACTTTTTTGGCACTGTGGCCTCTTTCAAACAGCTTGCAACAAACTCCAGCAGTTGGTGCTCATTTCACATTGCACTTTTGGTCTGGATAACTACTTACTAGTGTGGAGAAGGCATGAGTTGGCAAGAGCTCCATGACTTTTGCAACCACTTCCAAGCTCTGGCGCAAGTACCGCTGCCACTCGGTCTGCTGCTATGGGAAGAAACACTAAGGTAAGCACAGCACTTCCAGAGGGAAACAGATGGCTTTTTGTAGACTAGTAGGTCTTAATTGATGTTTGGGACTAGCTAGCTCCTTTCCAGAGCTTGGCTTTTGCAGACACCCAGATACCGAAGAGATACTGCTCTTATGATTCTCATATGCTGCTAGACATCTGATGGAGGATAATTTTACCAACCCATGCTTTGAGCGTGTGTGCATATGCTTCCCTGGAGTGTTAAGGCACAAACATTCACTCCTAAAGCACAGTTACTGCTCAGATAACAAGCATCCATTATGCAGAACAACCTGCCCTTCCAGTGCTCTGGCCTCATCCATTTTGGCCACTTACTCCATTTTTACATTAATCAGTATTGAGATGATGTTTACCAATACCACCTTAGGAGAAATAAGCTTAAACGAAAGCACCAATAACATATACAGCTTAAAGCTTTTGTCTCAGAGATATTTCAGCATTTACATTCCAAAGCAACCACACATGGACACCTGATGCCTCTGATAATCAAAACATAAGCATCTATATTTTTTCCCCCATAAGAACCAAGTTAAAAAAAAGTCATATCTTTTCAGTGTGACTTTAAGTCCATTTTTGTCAAAAGCATTTCATACTGCTTTAAACCTCAAACCCCACACTGAATGAAGAAGCAGCTGTCTAGCTTGTACTCTGAAGTACAAGCTCTGGGAAAGACATTCCCAGTGTTACCAGTGCAAGAGTTAATATCTGGACCTGCAGCTGTCCTTGTTTAACACTGCTCCTTACATCATCATCCAGTGTCTCGTCATCCAGCTCCTCCAGCTGTGCCTGGTTATACCTGAACTGGATTCGATTCAACACCTCTGTCAGCAATAGAACCAAGGCGTCTTCGTACCTATGACCATGAAGAAGACAGAGCAAGAGTTTGATAAAAAGTTCTGCAGAGATTGCTGTGCCCACAGCCCTTTCAGCAAAGGAGATATGTAAAACAGATGACAGTTTAAAGTGGGCCACTGCAAAGAGCCTGCAGCACAGCTTTACGGCTTTGTTGAGGAAACACCAAGCAGACCCTGGGCTTAAGAATATAATGTAATTTCAGGTAAAAAGGTACCTGCAAGGAAAGAACTTTGGTAATACCTGATATTCCTCTACCTCTGAAAGGGAAAGGGAGAACTGTTAGCAACAGAAGCTGCCCAAGAGTTCAAAACAGGAAAGGTAGGAGTGGCTTGCCAGGAATAATAGCAGATGTACATGAACAGGAGGCACCAAGGGCCAAGTTGCTTAAGCTGCTCCTCAGTAGCCTGTCTGGTGCTGCTTTTTGGGCAGTGAATGAGGAACAGATGAAACAGGGCAGAGTTACTGCTGTCTACCTGAAAAGGGGGCCTCCCCTGAGGCTATTTGTTCTGCTATCCTCTTTCCCTACACTGTTGGCAAAAGAATTCAGGCCCTTGTCCTCTGAAACAAAGCCAGCACTTTTTCCACTTGTACTGTAACACTAAATGCATGTCACTGAAAGACATCTTTTCGCCTCTCAGAGCTATGAAGCTGGTACAGAGCACAGAAGACCTTCCTCATTGATCACCTAAGAATAATGCCAAGTTGCAAAATTAGCACAGAGCCACCTGAGCATGCAATCATTCCTGGTGACACAATGCCAAAGTTTGGGGATTTCGAGGGGGTTTGGTTTGATTGTTTTAAAAACCTCCTTTCTCAAAGCAGCTGGGCTCTGATGCAAGAAGTCATGCTCTTTTTTTAGGTGAGATCAGGTTGGAAAATTAGGCATTAACATATACTAACAGATATTCAGAGCATAATGCAATCTAAGTGTCAGACTAGTCAGCTGTGTCACTAGCTAAGCAGCTGAAAGCTCTCTGTGCAAGGTGGCTGAATCACCATCTTTTCCATAATCAGATGGCATAACTCTGGATTCAGCAATTTATCCACTAGTAAAAGTCACAATGGGTATAAAATGCAAAGTTTAGAAACCACAGAACAGGAAATTTCATTTGTGCTCTTGTGGCGTAACCACTCCCAGACTGTCAAACTGCAGCATTCACACATCTGAGAGTGCGCAGGAAACTAGCTGTCAAAGTTCTCACTAAGGACAGGTAGTTCTGACAAAACAGTACAAACTTCAGCCACTTATATGCTTTTTTTATTTTATAGTCTGACATATCTCCTAGAGATAGCTATTGTTTGTTTCAATTTTCTCCATAACAAACCATTTGACACAAAGATAACACACATTACATGCACATTAGCCAGATGAAGAGGAGCAGAATGCCAAGGCAGAGTTCAACAGCGTTAGGCAGAGAGCAGCAAATTAGGAACAAATCATGACGAAGTTCAAATGCAAATACCTACTACCTGAGAAATTAAAAAACCACAGTTCCCATGCTGAAAGGAAGACAGCTGTCTGGTGTAAGCTAGTTCCATGTTTGTTCTTTGTGGTTATGATGCCATGCTGTCTTTCAAAAACCAACCACTTATATTTAGTGTGCTTAAGGGAAAGAAGCTTCTTTCTGCATTTAATAGAACATGATATGGCACAAGCCGTGGCACTTTTAAGGCTCCAAAACTTGAACAAGATACCAGTATATTCACCAGATTTTTAAAGTGGCAGCAAAGGGATTTTTATCAAAAGAGGGCCACCCATTTCAGGATACAGCACCTACAAAGGAAGAGCTGCCAATGACTGTTGCAATTGATACACACAACTAGCATCAGAGGTAAGCAAGTGGAACTTTAACTTGCAAACACAGTCTCATCAATATTTCTCAGAAACACATCCCCAATTTACACAGGAATTTTAAAATCCTAATTAAATAAATTTTTTTTCCTTAATCCATTAATTAGTTGTATGAGCTGTGTGAACACTTACTAGGCAACTTACTCCGTTGTCTCCTCCCCTAATATGTGCTAAAATGTGCTCTGAGAAGTATAACACATTTTAGCAAATTTATTTTAGACTACAAAGCTTTCTTCCTCTGGCTGCTGAGTTCACACCAACATATGTAAGTGACAGTTTTTCTACCTTAACTTGCTCAGTTTGAATTCTTTTGAATGACTGTGAAAAATTGAAGTTTACACTGTTTATATTTTACTATTTCAGAAAAAGAAAGGACTCGACCACATGTGAAGTTGAAGTAAGCAATAGGTTATTTCTCACAGTCCTTCCAGGGTGACCATGAAGTCTCTTTGCAGCTGTCACATCCTGACAGCTTCCCAACTGCTTACCTGTTGAGTACTGCTTCTTTGTCTGCAAGACGACTTTTAATTTTGCTAGTCAGATAGTCCAAGAAGAGCGTCCAGATGTCTAAGCAAGAAAAGTAACCTTCATGGGTAGGCTGAAATACACCAAAATTCACAATTAATATCACAAACTATGGCAAGGCTGATTTCACACAATGAAAATACAAGTTAGCATCCACTTCAATCCATGGGAAGAACTTCTTGCTTTATTGAAAAATTTCTAGGAGGTCACTGGAGAGATTTATAGCTGTCAAAAGATGAGCAAGAGCTTTTGCACAAAGGTGGGAAGCCAGGAATTACAAGGCTGGTTTCAGCATTAGCCCATCTCACATGGCTTGCTGCATCACCTTCTAGCATTTTATAGATCTGCTTCCTTGTCATTATTCACATGTGGGGGTAAAAAGGGCTGAGTTGCATTGTGACAGCTTCTACAGCAGGGTTTTGTTTTGGTTTTTTTTTTTTTGTAATACTAAAACTGAAAGTTACAAGGAAAGCCTCAGATAGAGTAAAAGCAGCAGACTGAGGAGAAAGAAAAGCATCCCCAAACACAAAACAAGCAAGCTAGAGAGATTTTTCCAGATAACATTGTCCATTCCAAGGACTAGCAAAAAAATGAAAGCAGAAGCAAAGTTAAACAGCAGACAAGTTGTTCTTGCAAGCTAACTACGTGTGACCCCTGTCTCCAACTAAATCCAAGAGCACATGAAGCCATTTCCAAGTCCTCAGCACTACTGGCGAAGTGCCAGTAAGACAAGTTAACTGCTTTTTTGTGGGCTAACTTTAAGTATCAACTTCACTGGGGAAAACAAGCTAGCCCTGCCATAGAAGACAACAGAACAGAGAACAGACAGAGGACAAAAACAATGTCACAGGGCTGTACCTGATGAAAAGTGTATTTGAACAACAATGCCAGAAATTCAACCACAGGGAACTGGGAGTAGGATTCAATTCTTCGTAGGTGGACACTCACAAAGAGACGGAGAAAATCCGTAAACTTCTCAATGTAGCTACAAGGGAAAGGAGAAAACACAACTGAGAAAACATGAGAGATGCCACAAGGGAAAGCAATTTCATCGAAATAGTGATAAAATTCACTCAAAATCCTTTCATTAAAAAGAAAGTTACAATTAACAGCCAGTAGAACAATTAAAATATAAAGCCCTGCAACAATTACCTACAGGACGGGCAACCCTTCATTCCATTAATACCTGAAACAGCAGAAAAGACAGTCTAGTCAAAAGCAACTTTAATACTCAGATAAATATAATTGAGTTCAACCAGGCCTGTAAATAAGCACGATCCTCCCCCACCCTAGAGAAATAATTTAATAGCAAGGGTCATCTTACTGATGTAGATAAGATTAGTGAAATAAACTGTACCACTGTGGAATTCAGCTGGAAGCAAGAAGTTAATGCAGGAGTTAGCAATACACGTGTTAAATTTACACGAGAGAGTGGGAGAGCCATGGAGTTGAGAGCTGGAAAGGACAGTTTCTTCTGCAGTGCAGATCAACTATCCAAAAGTTTCTGAACTGAGCCCAGGCTTTTGTGACTGAATTAGACTATAAAGATAAGTCTTTCGCCAAAGCATGGGACTACTCAATGCTTGGGACTGTACAAAATGAAGGTCCAAAAAGAAGCCTGCTACCAAAATTTCAGGGAGTCCAGCAAGAGCATGACCTCAGTGCAAGCCCTGGGGGTCTCAAGTATGCAGCTGGGGAAAAATTACAGAGACCACAGTGGGGTAAACTTTTATTGGGGAATAAGAACACGCCCTGCACAACATGAGCTTCATCAAGGTTAGAAATCATCTTCATATCTATCTATAAAGAAAAGAGTTAAATACTCCATCAGGTCACAGGACCAATGCATTGCAGCATCATACACAAACAGGAAGAGCTCCAGCAATCCAATGGCAAGGCTGTGTGCAGAGAAGTCCATCCTTCCTACATTGCAAGAGCTCACTTCAAGTTTTTCTTTTAAATACAAAGTTAGGCTTAGCAGAGTTTCAGACATGCACAAACAGCCTGATTTTACTGTACTCCTTGCTCTTCTCTTCTGCAAACTGGTTGTTTGGTTTTGGTTTGGGTTTTGGTTTTTTTTGGGGGGGGGGGAGGGTTGAGGAAGGAACCTCACTCTTTCTAATGAAAATTCACTCAAAACCAGAAGCATTGCCAGCTAACAAAGAGCTGCAGCACTGTTGGTTATTATAAGCCTACAAAACCACACAATACTTTGAATATGCAAAAAGATTAAATTTCCTTTTTATTTGGCACTGCCTACTTGACAAGAGATCTCTAAACATACCTGATCATGGATCAAACACTTCAAAAGTAAAGCTAGCAAAAGAGTCCAGACCCAAACACCTCCTTCATTCTTTTAATTTTTATTTTTGAAAGGTGCTCTGATCTGAGACCAGTCAAATTCTTACTTGGCCCCTAGCTCTGCCAGACCCAAAGCCCCTTCTGCAACCACTGAGCCATTGCTCAGAACCTTAATAGCCATTTCCCATATTTTGGGATCTTCAAGCTAAAGCCAAACACAAATAAAGCAAAAGACAGTTCAAGCTTACTCTTTTTCTAGACTAATTTGGCAGTACCAACTGTTCACAACCACACTGATTTTGTAACAGAAAAAAAAATAACCAGCACCACGAGAGGAAGGGAAGGAACAGACCCAGGGCAGGCAGTTTGTGAAGACAGCAATCTACAGAAGTTAGTTTCTTCAGTGCCAATTTTGTTCAGGATTTTTTTTAGTCCAAGCCAAGATGACACTTTCATGCATTTAGTTTTGGACATAAAAGTATAGCTATGCCCTTAAGTGACAAAAGGAAAATCCTCGCATCCTTTTCCACAGAGAGGACAGAGTCAGCTCTGAGAAAGCTCCACTCCTCCAGAAGCCAGCTAGATTTTTCCAGTCTCCAGAATATCTTAGTTACATCTGTATTTGAGACCTTAGCAATGAATAAAGAGGGGTCTCACAATTACAGGCACCAAAAATCTCTGTGGCTAACGTGTACGCAGCAGAACGTAACAATATGGCAACACCATCTCTGTGAAGGCCAACGCAGCTACAGACCTTCCACAGCCTTGCCAGTGAAGGCTTGCTGATGTCTTCCATAAAAGAATGAACAAAGTTAAACAAGGGATTGTGGGTTTCCAGGAGAGCTTTTCTGAAATCCAGAGTGTAACTCCTGGCTCTCTGTGCCCATATCTTGTATGCAAAGGTGGCAGATTTCTACACATCTTATTTCTAGGAAGTGAGTGATACTGAAGTCAGAGCAAGTTAGTAAAAAAATGAGCAGGTAGAATTCACTGTTAAACAGAAGTCACGATCCCAAAGTTATATGTGTATCTAAAGGTATGGGAAAAGGGAATTTTACAGAAGAAACATGCAAGTTCTCTCTACAAATGGACCCACAGTTTTTTTGCTAAATTTCTTTTTTTCTCTTAAGTGGATATAAAAAACCAACAAAAAAAACCCACAAAAGGTCAAAAGCCTTGCTGCTGCACCTGGGAACAGAAATTTTATACAGCAGCACCAGAAATTTATTTCCACCATCACGTATCTGTAGCAAGATACTGAGCACATTTGCACAGTTGCAACCTATTTGCCAACATAGTCTGCCAGCCTTCCCATGGCAGCAGGCCTGCAATGAGAGGCAGCATCAAGTCATCACCTCTTCCACCACCCTGCCAACACATGGATTCAACCATTCAACAGCAAGTCAAGTATCACCTTCTCTCCTACAAGTAGGAATATCCGATAAGAAATAGTTGAGCTGTCTTAGGCAACAAGGATGGTAGTAACTTTCCAGAAAATGACAATACGCAGCCTCCCAAGATGCTGCCACTTCCCTGCTGCCTCCAGTCAAGCATGCCAGAGAGCCTCTGTGGTGGAGCCATTCACCGCTGCTGTGAATGGAGTTCCCCAAGCTGTCTTTTAGTGGTGTTTAAAAAAGTAAAAATAAAAAAAGCAATCAGAAATCATCACATCTCCATGAAGGGCAGGAAACTACTTTATTTTCTTTCAAGTCATGACTTGCAGAATATCTACCCACTCTTTGTATGTTTGAGTTTAAGCAGAGAAGGCAGATACCAACCAGGAAAGGGAATACTGCAATGCCTTTACCTCACTGAGCCTCTTCTGTTTTCTGTTACAACTGAATGAAGGGCAGGTTCAGCTCTTGTGCCACCTCAGACCTGCAGTCAAACAGTAACGAACGGGGGAAAGGGGAGGAAGAGGGCAGGAAAGAATACAAACCTGTGCCACCACGGTCCCTTAGCACTCAGCCCCTTATCAGAACCTTACCTGTGGCCACCTACCTTTCTGCCTGTCTCCCCCAGCACAGTACTCTGAAAAAAAGGCGATTAGACACACCATGCATGACCGCAAAATAATACAGACAGTCCTTTAGAAAGCAAGAGGCCCTAGCACAGCTACTTAGCTGTTTGGTTGCTGTTACCTTTCATCCAGTTCCTCTAGCCGGCTCTTCACCGTATGGGCGTTATTCTCCTTGGTAATCTTCTGCAGGAGGTAGAAAGTCTGCTGGAACATCCGTAGCAAATACTCTTCGAACTCCATAGGCACGCAGTTCTTAGACATCAGTTCATTGATGCAAGACATAGCCAAGACGCCAAGTCGGCCACGCTCCTGTCCCAACACCGAGTTCTGGCTGCTGCCGTTGACAGAACACATTTTCCGAACACGGGTGTCGCAGCCAAAGCGAGCAAAGTGGAAAATGGTGGTGAGGAGTGATGGGGTGATACTAGTAGACAAAGGGATCCAGCTGAAGAGGTGTGCCAGGCACTCCAGTGCCAGGGAACATATATATTCACTTTCTGTATCAAGGATGGGAATTGGCTGGTTCAATAATTTGGCTGCACTGGGACTCTGCAACAGGCTACTTAACAGGTCACCTAGGAAACAAAACACACATCTGCATTATAAATCAGGACAACTACCTTCAAATGGTACAACTGCCAGCCCTACCTATAAAGGAAAAGCCATCAGAGCCTCCGGCGTTTGTATTCAGGAATTTTCTGAAGTTTTGTCAGATCAAGCGAAAGTTTAAGCAGCAGCTTCACACAGCCCTTCTAGCCTTACTGGGAAGCACACCCAGTGTTTTGGAAAATAGCAATGCCATGGGGTGTATTTTAGGAATTTATTATAAAATTCACTCCCCTCACAAGGTCGAGCATCCTTGATGTAAGCTTGCACAAGTTCTGGCACATCCACATTACACTGAACCTTGGCAGAGTTGCTTCTGCTTGCACATGAGTTTGTGGATGACTTAAGAGCAGATGTTCTGAGTCAGACCAAAAAGCCTACTTAGTGCAGTACCCTTTTCTCAGTGACCAAAAGCCCACAGCAGGCACAGATCACATTTCCCAGCCTCCAACCACTCACATTACAAAGGTTTCCAGAGGCAGGTGGGGTCTGAAGAATTCTGCACAGCCTCAGGCTTTACCTTCCATGACTTTATCCGGTCTCCAGCTGAAGCCACATAAACTTAATATTTGCAACATCCTGTGACAGAGTTCCACAGCTTAACTATACATTGTGTAAAGATGGTTTTTGTTTGGGGCATGTCAGCTGTTAGTTTCATTTCCTACCTCCTGTACCCAAACAGGGAAGAGAAATTCTCTCTCCATTCACCTTCTACATATCACTGAACAGGTTTCTATTGCAGCTCCTCACTCTCAATTTCTTTGAGAGAATGAAGAGTTCTACTTTTCTTGTTACTTACATGGAAGTCATTCAATACCCTCAATCATCTTCACTGCCCTTCTACAAAGCTTTCATTTCTACTCTACACCTATTGACATAGGAAGACCAGAACTGCAGCCACTATCGAAGGTGTGGATGAACCTTAAATTCCATACAGCACCATAGCAGATATCCATTTTTGACTCCTACCAATCCGAAATTTTTGTAGAATGATCTGGTGTAATTCTCAGAAGTTAATCCTGCACACTGAAGGCAAGTTTGAAGCCCATGATTTGGCATGAGATGAGTACTGCTCTCCCTGCCCAAACACAGGTTCTACTTATCTGCATTACTGTTTCACCTGCCATTTGCCCAGAGGCACGCAAGATCTTCCTGTAGGTCTTCAGTCATACCTTCTTTCTCACCATTCTGACAGTCTCATGCAGTCAGCAACCCTCCTTGTCTCTTTACTGAGCCCTTTTCCCAGGTCTCTAACAAGTATGTCCATGAGCACAGTCCCAAGCAGTATTCCACAGGTGACCTTCCCCCTCATGGCAAGAGGGGACCATTTCCGCTTACCTTTTATATCCTACCTTCTAACCAATTAATCAACAATCCAGAGACTCCCTTATCCCTGATGGCCTTTGCTTTCTCAAAAGCTTGTAGTGAGAAGCCTTGTTGAAAGCTTTATGGAAATCCAAGCAGACACTACCAGGTAGGCTGCCCTTCCCACAGAAGCTGCCCACTAACTCGCAGGCTTCCATAGACCACATGCTGAAAACCTATTCACCTTCCCCAGGTTATTCAATACACTTCTCGCCCCTAAATACAAATAATCTCTTCACCTTTAGAAATCCTCAGGCACTTGCTACGATACAGAATTTAAAAGTTCTCCCCAGAAAATCTGAGTAATTTTTTTTTGAAAGTGAAAATATCCAACACACCAGCAGCACAAAAATAACAGGTATGATTTACTGAGCTATTTCCAAAGTACTCAAAAGTATGCATGATGAACAGATTCCTCTTATGTCTCCATTTTTCATCAAGATCCATGTCTTACATCAGTAAATTCATAACTCTCTGCCATACCTTATTGTTGCTTCTTTCTACTCGGCTGCAGAAATTTAAGGCTTCATGCTACTTCAGCTGAATTTGATAACCCTGCACTTACTCTTAATATTAAAGCAGCCCCCATGGTAACTTTTACAACTATACATATGCTGCAGCGCAAGAGCTGCTTGTGTTGCGCTTTTACAGAAGTGGACATGTTGCTTTCAAATGTCCAGTCCAACAAACTCCACAAAAATCAACGAGAATCAAAGATTCTCATCTTTTAATCCATCAACACCAGAAACTGTAAATTAGGTCCCTGTAATTCACAGCATTTGGTCAAAGTGCTTTGCACCCAGTTAAATTACTGAAGCTCAGAGTTTAAGGGATTTGAAGTTAGATTTTGCATCTGTGCAAACAGGTGATAAATTTACAGGACCAGCTGCATTCATGCACAAGGAGAAAACTCGGGGAGGGGCTGGGATCAGGCTAGTTCTGCAGAAGTAAGCAACAGCAAACATTTCTGTTACTCATTTGTTTACCATACATGAGTGAATATGCCTAAGGAAGGGATTCATCAAGTAAAGAGCTATAAATCATGCAAAGACAACATTTGGAGGCTGAGAGATGATTGCTGAGTAAATTCTATACTGGTGCAATAACTCAAATGTTTCCCAAGAGAGGACATTACCAGAGTTCCTTTGCTTAAGTGGTATGAGAAATGAGTTTAACATTGTCTTCAACTGCTATTTAAAAACTATGCAAGACTTGCAAGTAACCATTTCACTCTGCTTCCCTGTGCAAAAAAGGAAGCATAGGTTTTCCAAGTTCCTAAAGAGATTTTGGCTCTGACAGAAGATATTAAACGTTTATAGGGACTCTGAAGCTTATTTTGCCTTTTGGAACACCTTTAATGTCACTTGAATGTAAAGAGAAAAAGTTGGTGGCCTCAACTAAGCAACAAAAAAAAGTTTAAGTGCCACCAGTAAACAGGAATAGTTTGCTGCATGAATGAGACTCAAATATAACAATATGTGGGTAAAAAGATATGGTCAGCTTACAGATTTCACAAATTTTAAGGACAGAGAAACAATTAACATTCACAGTGCAGAATTTAATGGCAGAGTTTCACTAAACCCAGAGATCAGTGCCTGCAATTAAAGACCAGCAGATGTGCAATGCCACAACTGTCACTCACTACTACTGACTTGTGTGTCCGGCTTTAAGCCCCATAGGTTCTCTGTGTTCGCAACCCCATCGGTGCTCTTATTCCGTTCTGTGAATCTTTCGACTGATCGTATCACCAAGTAGGGACCCAAGGGACATTTGGCTAATAAAGAAAGTGAAGAAAAAAAGAAAAGAGTCCTTCACAAAACACAGAAAGTGAGCAAGCAGTGGACAAGAGGGAAGCACTCGGTGCTCTTCCTTTTGGACTTGAAGAACTTGAAGCACAGTCAGTTTTAACATGGAGAGAGTAGTTAAGGCAGAGGACAGGAAAAAAACACAGAGAAAGTTTCAGATAAACAAGTTTGTACAGGCAGGACCCAATGAAATTAAGCCTGAACTTCTGAAAGAACTGTCAGTGTAGTCTTAATTACTAGCAATTATCTTGAAAATACGCTGTGTAAGAAGTTTGTTTGTTTTCCCTGAAAAGGGAGAAAGGAAAGACCCAGAACAGAAATGCAGTGTACTTTCACTTTGAGAAATATGATCTCAAGTCACAAGGTGAATGCACAGGTGGATGAAAAGCTGCCTCAGCACAAGCACCACCCAGTGATTCACCAAGCAATTGAGAGGACTGACAATCAGCCCAGAATTTGTTCCACTGGTTATTTTTTTTATTACAACTCTAGACAACAAGACAGATTTTCTGGGTTGCATTAATTTAAGTTACTAGCACCTCAGAACAAACCAGTGTTAGTTTTTCCCCAAGATAATTCTGGAACCCGCTGTTCACAGTGCAGTACCCTCTCCTGCAGACATGGCCTTGGACGTGCCTGCATTAACCATCACCTTGCTAGCATTCAGCTGGGCTCACCGAGCAATTCAAGCTGTTTTGTACAAATACAGCATCATTTTTGGCCACTGAGGCACTTGCCACCAACAGCTGATACTAACATAAATGAGCTTTTTACCATGGAAGACCCCAGTCTTACTCAATGTCACATCAAAGTACTGAGGCTCTTGCTGCCAGGGTGGGTGAAGCTGGCACTCCTGCCCTCTCCAAGCAGCACGTTCACTCTTGCCAAGTGATACTACAAGTTTTGTTCTTTTCTGTTAATATTTTTTCTCCAAACTTTTGCTAGCTACAGCAAAATCCACCCCCCCCAACCCAATTTCTCTCCATTTAAGTTTATGTTTTGTATATAAATATAAAATTGTCTTAAGCTCTTCTACAGGAAAGCAGCACTTGAAATTCTGCTCAAACTTAAATGTGAAAGTTTTATCACTAACCAAAACATTAACAAAAGCTTATCAAGGGCAGCTGTCTTAAACTGACTAGTGCAATCTGCCCACAAGGAAGTAATCTGCAACTCAGTTAACTGTTTGAGGTCCCAAAGACAAGTGAGACAAAGGTACCTGATACAACTGTATTAACTTACAGAACACACTGCACCAAGCACACCTCGCTATCAGTATGACCCTGGAGAAAGAAATATCAGATCCACAAGTGTTTCATCTTCTCCCTATGCACAACCAGGTATTACAGGTTTCCAGCCCCTAAGCCCTTCTTTTTCCTTGTTAAAAGCAGACAGAGCCAAGATCAGACAACATACTGATTTCACTGCATCATGGTATTTCTTCTTGCTTTGTTTTCCAAGAAGCACGAACAAAGACACCACAAATGCTTGGGTGAGCTGAGTGTAACAACAACCCACATTACAGCAAGGCACAAGAGAAACTGGTAGTCATCAAGATCAGTGTTATGTCTGGGGTGACCCTATAAATCTAACCCCATTTAGCCTTAACAGAGTAAGTGAAATGTGTGCCAAATACAAGGACATAGAAATATATTCTCTATTTTGAAGGTAACTAAGAAATAGATATGTAAATTAGTTTAGATCAGATAAACACCCCCACAAAAGACTAACAGGAATAGGTAGAAAAAAGTTTCACTATATATACACAAAGTCCTAGCCACCTTTTTTTTTTTCTTCAGTTAGGGCTTCAGTTTTGCCCCACTCCACTCTGGCTTTTGATGCACTTACAGCTGCAATTCATAGAGGACAATGCCAACTCACAGACATTAAGAGCATTTTGCATTGACACTTCAGAAAGCTTTTTGCCATCTGAGGACAACAAGCAGCTATATGTGCACTTTTCAATAAGGCGGCATTTTCAGCGGGGCATCCCCTGGAGTGGAAATTGCTTCTTCGTGTAAGGTTTATCTTTCTGACCAGAAATTTGTTGGCTTATGAAAAGCTCTAGAAAAGGCTTATTACAAGAGGTTAGGAAGGAAGTAATCTATAGAAGGAAGGAATCTATGTCTGATATTGCAAGCTTAAGTACATGGAAATAATCATATTGTAGCTTTAGCCATCCTTACCACTTTCTCCTGAAGTTGGGGATGGTGGTGGAGTGGCAGCAGTAACACTGTGTTTGTCCCAGATGCTCTCCAAAATACCTGGCCAAAGAGATATTTTTCAGAACAGCCTGCTAAAACACAGATTGATCTAACAACCATACTGGAGACTGCAAGATAACTTCAGTAGAACACACCTTCAGTGCTTTGACAAGGAGCATTGTCTTCTCTTAGTGAGCCCAAAGAAATTACTAAGTCCTTAAACACACAATCTCAATCCCTCTTCAAAAAAGGGAGACATACATAGCTGTACAGCTGGTCTGCTATACAAGCTTGTTTCATAGTCAGCTGACCCAAATGCCTAAGGGTAGTGTTGAGTGTTTAAACTGCAGGAGCAGCCACTATATCTCCCACACGTTGCTTCACTGAACCCAGAATGTGCAAGCTTGCTAGCATCTTAGGGATGGTGAAGGAGGACATTTGTTTCAATGCTGCAAGTGCAGTAACTCGTACCTGTGAGGAGCCCAAGCACTGTTTGCACCTGGTCTAGGAGCAGCTTTCGTAGCTCTTCTTTCCGGGCTACACTGAGATCTTCCCGTGGACATGCCAGTTCTTCCGAAGTAGTTTTCAACATGATCAGTCCCAGAGGAGTGGTCACAGGAGACTGAATTAACTGACAGGAAAACACATGAATGCAACATGTGATGACAACATTCTGCAAAGCTATCAGCTGACAAACAGGGGGTTAGTAACACTGTTAGCAGTTTACAAGTGCTTCAAGACTGAGGGAGTATCATTTCCCACAGTTTGGAACGCTGCATGTTGAGGGCAGAGAACTGCAAATATTCGATTTCCTGAGACATTAATTTACGATGTTGCAACAGTTCAAGTACCATGGGAATCCTTGGGGTTTCAAGAGAGCTTTCATAATGTCATTGCACACGTTCTCTGTTCCAGCATGTTTACCAGTAATAGTTTGTTCCTTCTGTTTACTGTCTTCTGCTGACATCATCACTTCTCAGAATTGCCTCAGCACCAGCGGTTTCACCACGTAACAGGGCTGCCACTGCAGCCACGCTCAGGTGGGGAACCTGCACCATCAGCTGAGCAGTTTTCCATTAAAAAGCCCATCCCTCCCCATACAAAGAGCTGCAGCCAACATCGGATGGCACAGGAACACAGTTAAGGGATGCGACCTCTCCTTGTACCTGTATTGCCTCTGAAACTGGAAATCACATTTACCCTAAAAAAGTGACTTCCACCACAGACAGAACGTGCAGGAACCAGAGAAATCAATGATTTTTGCCTTCATTAGCCACTGGGATATTAAAGACACATTCAAGTGGGACAAAGTTTTATTTTCAGCTGAAATTCAATGCTGCTCTTCTCTGTTGACCTGGAACATCCAATGCAATTTATGCTCTATTCCCTCTGGGAGAAAAAGCCTAAAGCCAAGCACAATTACCACAAGTAATGCTTGAAGTCATAAATTCTCTAACACAGGCTGACCTTGGTCCTAATCTCCTTGACCCACCAAACTGGAGACACGCTGAGTTAACACTGCTAAGGCCACACAGTTTGGTGAAATATGTGGGAGAAAAAGCCATTCTAAAAGCTCTTAGTCTAGATGTAAGTCGGCTTTCAGAAAGGAAGCATGATGGCACAGGAGCAGACAGCTAAAAAAGAAAATTAAATGAAATACACAACTTGTTAAGTCTCTTTGCAGCTTACATCTCCTCTCAGAATATTTTCTGACAATACAGGGAAGTTTAGCAATACCATGCACTGGCACTTCAGTAATGTTAAACATATTTCACACCTCTAAAGAAGTAGCACTTTCTACGTAAAATTATTGGTTTTGCATAATGACAATACAATAGTCCAAGTTACTTTTCTCCTCCACCCCTCCAATGGTTCAGTAAAAGTTTTAGAGACTACTTAGAGTCCTGGGATACAAGTTAAAGAATCAAACAGTTGCTTCAAATTATCTCACAAGAAAGTCTTGAGAGAGGACTCATCTGCAACTCTAGAAGCAAGTCATCCTGCTCCTGTGCTCCTCTTCTTTATTTTGAGGTCTTGAAGTTCAGTATTAGTGTTTTTCTTCCACTTTTTCTGAACATTTTTAGAAAGTGTCTGCTATAGAAATTAATTTATGGGAACAATTCCCTCTGAAGCTGAGTTCACAGGAAAGGCTTAAGGAAAAATAGATACCCAAAGTGGGCTCTGCAATCACTTAAGATAACTTCCACAGTGCTCGAAAAGCAAGTAGAAGCTCAAACTCAATTGCAGATCCAGGTGAAACGAAAGCCAAAACTGTAAGTGTAGATAGTCGTCTCAGAATACTTATTGTCAAATTGACAATTCAGGAAAAAATTGCAGCATGTTGCACTACATGATTACAGAAAGCTATTTGAAAAGAGATTACAACAGTTAGTAACAAGCTCTGTATGCCAAGTTAGCATTTTTTTGTTAACTTTGCAATTAATACTAGATCCATTTGTCTTAACAAATAAACTCCTGACCCTCAGAGACTTTGATTTTTTTTATTTTTTTTTTAAATAACTGCCTTGTGGCTTATCTGTGGGCATAGCTGCACTCAAATCGTGTAATTATGTCAGCAGAAAAAGACTGTGCAGCACTTCAGTTTACACTCAGCTTCTTTAAGCCAATTATGAACAATTTTAAGAGAACTGGAAACAAAGTGCTCGAACCAAAAGAGGAGGTTTGCACTGGCCTAGTTTGGCTCCAGCTGCAACGAGCTGTTAGCCTGGCTCAGGCTTCACCGTGGAGATACTGAATTACAACCAACATTCAAACTAATGGCATTGTCTCAGGCAGGATCCTCAAATACATACTCTAGCCTTCCTGCAAGAGCCCTCTTCAACACTGCAACAACATTCCATTAGTAACTTTACATGACGAGGTGCCAAAGGTTTTAGGGTATCTTTGGCTATTAGGTGAAAAATCTCCAACAGCCACATTCAGAAACTTCACTTTTGAGAATCATTCAGTGATGCATCCATAGTTTTACTGACTTTTTTCTTTAAAGAACCCACAACCCCTGCATTTTCAACAACTACTCCTAAATCTTTAAAATTCAAAGCGCAGTTAATACGATTGTACCTTTGTCAAAAATAGAAAGAAATGTAACATGTAGGAAGCTAAGGGTTATTTTCAAAAGTAAAAAAGAAAAAAGGAATTTAAGAAGCAACTTTTTTTTTACGTAATTATTTTATCTTCATCAAGGGAAGTCACTACTCAAGAAAACAAAATAATGTCTCTCTGTGAATGAAACCAAGTTTTCCCTTTAGAAACTTCTTACCTGCAAGATGTTAGTAAAAAAGTCATGGTAGAACATTGGCCAGTCTTGCCGGCCAATATCCACAATGACTTTGCAGAGTTTGTTCCTGATGAAGTAAGGCAGAGTTTTATGGTGAGCTAGAAGGAGCTTGGGCAGGCAGCTGCGGATCTCCATTTTGTCTTGAGATGGGACCCCAAGCCACATCTTATTGATTAGGTTCTGAAAAAGAAACAGACCTCCCAAATGAGCTCATCTTAGACATGCTTCACTAAGTTAAACAGCAAGAGAATGTGGACACATAATGCAGGTATAGAGCACCAGGCAGAGCTGCTGCATCTTATGCCCCGGGATTGCCAGTGCCTGCCACAATGCACAGGCAGGGAAAAGGCTACAGCTTTCAAATCTATCCAGGCCTCTCACTGACCAAGCCTGGTCAGTTAAAAACTTAGGCATCTATATTTGACGTAGTTCAACCTTCTCTGCTGCCACGGGCAGACCTGTAGATAAGGAAACAAGCAGGTATTAGCAGGTTAAACAAAAGATGTTTCTCTCTTGTTAGAGCTCTGACACAGGCTCGCTGAGCAAAGAGCTGAAATTTTTTAACTGCTCAGCAGTCCAGTACCAACCCTAACATCTTTAACAACACACAGAGGTGAGTGTGTGCAGACTAAGCCAGGCAGAACAAGAGCAGCTTAATAAAGGGCAAACCCTGCACCACTAACTTAACTTGGAATAAGCTTTGCTACCTTACGGGTACTCAGGCAACCAAAGACAGTGATGGCTCAAGCTGCGGAACAAAACTCGCTGAGCTCATGTCTTACAAGCCGCACAGTGTATAGGGATGAGCTCTAACAAAAATCCCAACCCCCCAAGCGTATCAGATTTGTAGAAGCCCTCCAACACTGAAGTTTCACAAAAGATGGGTTTCAATGCCCCAGAAATTGCTACCAATATCTCTTTGAATACACCATCATTTCTATTAACTGACAAGGGACAGCAACCAGCACATTACCATTTTAACTGGTTTTGGGTCAAGCAGAACTAGTTGGCATACATATCAAGTATTTCCACTATCTTTTAACCCTGGACACCTAGATTTTCCCCTTTAAAGGGGGAAGCACAGCTTTGTATGAAGCAGAAAAAAAAAAAAAGAGAGGAAGCAAGTTTGGTTTTAGATGACTCTGATGCCACCTGGGTCTCCTGAAGCCAAGCTGGAAGGTCACCGTCGGAGTGACTGCCTTGCAGTGACAGAGCACCACTTTAACAGAAAGCTTTTAGTCCACTTAAAGCCGGACAAAATCCATAAGAAGGCAGAGTTGCAAATTGCTTTCCTGCCACGCTACAATCCCATTTAGGGGCTCTGGAGCATTAGGAGCTGAGCCTCTCAGGATAACTTACTGAGGAGGCCTGCTACAGAGGCAATGTCTGTGCCCAACTGCAGCCATATAGCTTGGAGAACCCAAAAGCAGGAAATACTGCAAAGGGGTTTGTTGCAGAAAATGGAAGATTATTTATGATCAAAGCAAATCCAATTCACAGTACAGACATACTGTACAGAAGTGCCAGTTCAGTGTAGAGGTACAGAGGTGTATTTATACATTAAGTTCCCCAAAGAGGTTGCTTTTTGGGGTTTCTTGCACAGAAGATCCAGAAGTATTGCTTAACAATAATGACCCAACCAAATTGAGAGTTCCTTGATGCAAGTCCAGAACAAGAGTTTCAGAAGCCCCAATAAAACTGGAAGATGTTTTCAGCTTTAATATTCATGCTTTAATGCCCACTGAGTTTTATCCTACTCATTGGACCTAAAAGTGCAACCTTTCTCCACCTGTGAAATGTTTTTGGGAAGATGTTCTCTTTTCCAAAAGCAAGAAGAAAAAACGGTTCATACGGAAGGGGGCCCCATGAAAATTTATTCCAGATGCACTGTTAACTTCCTTGACATTCTAGGAAATGCAGCATTCTCACGAAGTTTTGGGAATGATCCTTGTGTTTATATACACGCTTTTACTGACATTCAGTACTCACACAGTTGAAGACTGACGAAGTTGCAGACTACAACAGCCTACAGCTATGAGGACCAGTGGAATGCACAGTGCTACAGTAGTTAACTTGATAAATTCAAGCTCCTCAGTGGAAAGATCCTAATCTCTCAGCTGAACTGTGGACTCATGTCCCTCGCTGTACACTAGGACAGTGATTTCTTTGTTCAGCTTAGTTCTGGTCCCAACTATTTTTTCAGTACTACTTTCCCACCTTACCCCACCCCGAGAAGCAGAGGCTCAGGAATCAAACCTGCTTTCCTCTTCATGAAAATTTGTTTAATTATTGCAGGCAGCTGCTGTGTGACATCCATCCCCAGTGCAGGGAAACACTCCCATACTGTTTGTCATGATTACCCCTTTTTGAGAGGAAGGCAAACCAGATTCAGTTTGCAGATTGAGTCCAGACTCCCAATGCAACCCCAGATATATAAAGTGAACATTTTAAGTGAAGAAGTCAACACCACCAGAGATAATTCGTCAAAACAACACAACTTTTAAGAACACCATTGTCTGATCTATCTAAAAAGTGGCCCATTGCAAAGGATATAAAACCCCTCTGATTTAGGAGCACAGCTCAGACTGCCAATGCAGCCAAGATCACAATGCAGAGGCCACAAACAGACCAGGGTGACATGTGACACTGACCAAGCCCCAGAATATCGTTAGGGAAAGACACTGCACTGGTCACTGAGAAATGGTTGATCAAATACAGCTGCTCACAGAATACTTTTGTTTCTTCCAGTAGATATACAGATCAATATTTAGGCTTTTAACCATAACTTTGTTCTTTTATAAATAGGTGAAGATTGGGATGTGGTCTCCTAAAAGAGACCTTGCCTCTACAACTAGCACACGAGCTTGTGGGATGTAGTTCAAGAGCATCAACCACAACATGTCAGAAAAACAAAAGCAACTTTGTCTTCCCTCTTAGCATTTAAGTTTGCAGTAGCTAGTAGCAGGTAATCATGCACATATTTCTGACCATAAAAAGAGTATAAAAGCAATAACACTCTTAAAAGCATTGTGCAGACAACTCAAGCAGCCTCTGAAACTGTAGGTAATTTGTACTTAGAGATGCCAGGAAATTAATTCTTCAATTTGTGTACAAAGATTCATATTCTCCTACTCTTAGCCTGCCATTAAGCAACCTCTCGAGGAGAGAGCAATAAAAGCATCCTTTATCACCGTACTTACTAGGACTGCCATTTTAGACAAACATTTTCAAATAAAATCGATTGCCATATAAAACTGCATCAGACAGAAAATGCACTAAGCAGGCAACAGTACACATCTTACCTCAAACACAGTCAAACTGTACATCATTACATAGTCATTTCTTGTACTTGACAGGAAATAGAGGCAGAATCTCCAGGCTCCTATCTGCTGGGCAAAGTTATTTAAAAGCTCCTCTGAAAAAATAAAGTATTAAAAAACGACATTAAAATTCTTAAGCTGTAAACAAATCCCTAACAACGTATACTGATCATACAACATCACACTGAGCATGGACGAAACCCCATGTTCAGGGAATGACTTGAACAACCTGGAGGAGGGAAAAAAAAAATATAAAATCACACTCCAAAGTATTAAAAGCAATCTAACAATAGGCTTTAATGAACACAAAATAGGTATGTCATTCTAGAATACAATTTTGATATAAATACTACACCAGACTAATAGCTGAATATTAAAACAGGTCACACAAAAATTATATTACAAGCATTACCATTTTATCTATAAAAGCCAAATGTCGGGATACCTGGTCACTGTGAAAGACTAGAAGTACTTCAGATCACACACAGCATTATAAAACACCCTTGTTTTAATGCAATTGCTCCAAGAGCCATTGACTTTGTTGTAGTGCAGCATATCAAAAACCTCTCCAAACACTCAGGTACAGGATTTGGTCATCTCACATCAAGGGACTACATACCAAATGCGGCAAAGGGAAAAGCTGCAAGGGCTGTTTTACAGGCTAATCAAATTTAAGCCTTAATCAATCTGTTTCTTTCCTGCAACTTAAGCAGGAAAACAGGGGAGGCTGAAGGCTTTCACCTTTTTCACAGATGATCTCCACAATAGGGAAAAAAAAAAACCAACCACCTTGCCTAATTGCTTATTCTTTATTTTACCAGATTTCTGGGAGTTTTTCATACTGATCATACTTTTGGCACTGAAGTTAGAGATGGCAGAAGTTTGAGTATAAAAGAAAACTGCCTATTTACAGCCATTAACCACTGATTCAAGAAGCTAATCTAGAGCACATCTAAGATCTCTGCTGGTTTTCACAACGACATATTTAATAACACCAGCCAAAATGAAACCTCACTGTTTATTCCTACTTGTCATTTCACATTAACTAGGACAGTCTTCTGCTTTCCCTTCTTAATGCTAAAGAAATCCGAAGCCCACGCCCCATCTCTAGGCAGAAGGTAGAGGTTTTCCAGGACATGCAGTCCAACAATGTACAGGCAGAAAAAAGGTAATATCCTTCTCCTACCCTAACCAACTTACTACCCTTGATAAAAAACTACATCTCCATGCTCACAGCAGTAGACAGTTACCAACATATTAATTATCTATAGGACCTGCCATGGGATATCTGAAACCCAAACTACATAAGCCTTTACTTCAAGTTCATACATAAGCAGGAGAGGCTAAGATGCGAGTTTGGTATCAGATAGAGCACTTTCATGTGCTATATTTAACATAACCAAGTCACCTCTGCCAAGGTTTGCAGGCAGCCGAAAGCAAAGGGGACCATCCTTTAGAAAGGGCATGAACTCACCTATCTCGCGTTTCCGCTCATTCGTTGTGCAATTGTGGAAAAACTCTGTCATTAGACTCTCCAAAGCCCGTAGTGAGGCCTCTTCAGATGCCTGGGAACAACACATAAAGGAAAGAGTTAAAATATCATTCATGTCACAGATGCACCCAAAAACCAACAAGAGCACAAAGTCCAGGTGGAGGGCAAAATAATCTGGAATTTAAACTACTCATTGGTGTCAAGTAGCAACAAGATTTGTCCACTGCAAGTGAAAGCTTTGGACATGAAGGACCATTTGCTCAGCTGCATTAACTAATAAAAATAATACAAGAAGTTTCCTTTTTTTTTTCTTTTTTTTTTTTGTGGCATTTAGTAATTTCAAGTTAGCTCATCCTTGTCAAATAATTCTCACAAAGACAGCAAGTTCAAGTGAAGATACTTTCAGATGTTTAGAGATAATAAATACAGCAATAGCACAGGAAGCATGAATTTTGAGAGGACTCCTGACACCTATTCCTGTCTTTGCCTCAGTGTCACACTGTGCCACACTGCCACCTGCACCAAAGGTGCTCAGGAAGTGGCAGCTTTAAAGATTACAAAATTTCCAGCACTTTGAAAAGCAATATACAAGTATTCAGCTATTTGATTCAAGAAGAACGTCCCCCCAACTCCAAATTTAGCTTTTATTATAGAATTCATTGGTTATAGCTCAGTGGTTTTAAGTCCTAAAAAAAATTATCAGAATTAGCATACAGACATTGCAAAGTCACTATAGTTTTGCAAGTCTCTGGAGCTGGGATGATTTTATTCTAGTAACAGCTCACCACCGAGCTTAGCCTCTCTAGCTGTGCCACACTTCCCTTATGGTCTAAGCCTGATAATGGATAGCCTTAGACAACAGTACTGCTACAGTACAGACCATGCCATTAGTCATTCCTCTAATGTTTTCAACACATGCTATCAATAATAAATACATCAAGATTCAAGCCCCAGTCTTCCTCTGCACAGAACCAAAGTAAGCCATTAAAGAAAACTTAAAGTTCTGCCTCAAAACAATAAAAACAGAAACAAAAACCATGACCGGCAGTCTTCTGCAAAGAGATGAGCAAGTGAGACAACGTGCAGAAACACTACAGGCTTCTGCTAGTTCCCATTTCCATGTACAGCAGTTTCCCCAAGGACCACCACAGGGCCAAGCAGCAGGAGACCCTCCTCAAACAGCCTGGGGTTGGATTAACCCCCCAGGAGAACTGACTCAACACAACAGCGTGGGAAGACATTCAGCTCTGCACTCCAAACATGGATGCTCTGTAGGACACCATGCATTTTCAATTACTTCACAAAGGAATACTGAATTTCATCCTACCTCTCCTCTTCCTTCCCCCCACTTTTTTTTTTTCTTTTTAACGACCTGCTCTAGAAAGCAAGGACTGTTTTAGCAAGAAACATTGCTAGTGGGAAATTGGCTTAAAATAACCTACAATTAAATCAAAGCCACTTTGCCAGCTTAAGCAAGATCAAGCACCCGTTATCACCTCTTTAACACATTTATACATGGTCTCTGCAAACAATCCCTTGCACTATAAACTTCCCCTTGAAGCCGGCCAGCCCTTCAGCCACCAAACAGTCTCCTCCTCCTGCCAGTCACCATTTCCCACATAACAGCAGCATTGTGGAGAAGAGACTCATTTAAAAAAAAATATTTGATGGAGTCCTTAATGGCTTTAGGATATAGCCACGCTGCCATTTCTATGCATTTCGTTCTGGGACATTGCACATTGTTGCAAATTCCTCCCAACTAGATCCAGGCATACATATCCAACATTTTTGTAAATCCCTGCAGTTTATTTCTCTGCTGCTCAACACGGAGTAAGCCTCACCAGCAGTTTCTGATGCCAACCCCCCCCCGAAGAGGAGTTTCCAAACGTTGGGCAGATCAATATCATGCAAATTCTCTGTAAGAAGCACTGCTCTCCCACTCCACCCCTCCACCAGCCAAGATCAAGATCACCTCAATTCACAGAGAAGTGTTAGCTCTTCACATAGGAATGGCAGGGCTCAATCGTTTTTGGATAGTTAATTCAATCCTTCTTTAGGAAGAGTAGTTGAGATAACTCTTGAATCTTGGAAAAAAATTGACTTATTTCCTACTTTTGGAAATAAATTGCAGAGTTCTTATAAATCTCAAACATCTGACATGTCCTCCACTGACTTCAAACTAAGATGTTGAAGATGACAGAGCCTACTCCTTAATAAAATAATAAATAAAAACACCAGCTTCACAATGTTCAACGCATCAAAATCAAAAAAGAAAACAGAGCACAAAGCAAGCATTTTATGTAAAAAGCCCAGGCTGGCCAGCATCCAAGGCCAACCTGGCAGAAAGAAACAGCATGACCTCCAAGACTGTTTATTCTCCTATTTGACTTCTCCTGGCGGTTCCGGACATTTGGCCAAAGGAAGGTGGAGTAGCACAAACTGTCTGAAGTAATCAAAACTCAGCCCAGGACCCTCTGCAAACAGGAGAGCCTCCCAGGTCTTCCCCAGATGCTCTCTGATGGCCACAGCAAGCACACCCCCTTCTAGCTATTGGCAGGACTTAAAAAGGTAGCGAGCAGCGTTCTGTATTTGCTAATGCCTTTGGGTATTCCTCAAGTTAACCGTTCCTGGAGCGTGCGGTAACCACCCACCTTTCAAGCAAAGGCTCTGATAACTAGGTCATTGAGATAAAGAGGACACGTGCTGTTGGAGAGCTGCAGAGGAAATTTACTGTACCTATATACAGACACCCCAGAAAGCAGATTATCTAGTGGGGCTATAATAAAAGTAGAGCTTTTGTAGGACCTGTGGCTGTACCTGTCTGTAATATTTCCAGCTGCACCTCAGTATTATCACTCACATTAATATGCAGTTTGCTTTCTTCTGGGGCTCAGCGTTTACTCTGCACTGAAGAAAAGAACAGGCAAGTATCACCAGGGTCTGCGAAAAGACGTGCTGATGAACCCTGATACTGAGCAGCAATGCATGGACATTAACGACTGCCTCAGTCCTGCACAGTCAGGACAAGATCAAACCCCACAGGCAGCCAGAACCAGCAGCACTCACTTCACTTTCTGTCTGGTCTGAAATTCAGCCATTTGGGTCATATGCAAATTTCATGTTTAAAGCTTTTTAAGGAAAGTCATGAAGTCTGGACCATCATTAGCAGAATTTAGTACAGACTTTCTGGGTAAGGGCTGGCAGTTTGCCTCACCTTCATGAGGCATCACAGAACAGTCAACTATTAAACCAGAAATACTTCTTACTGATTTTCACAAGCGGTAAAATCTGACCCCTCCACCCCCAATGTCTCAGGCTACTCAGGGCTGGATCAAACTGCCAGGAAATGCTGTTTGCTCTCTTCTGTCAACCATTTAGGAAAAAAATACTCAAGTCTATGAATCCCATTTGCAGAGCAGGTAATGTCAGCTTTTTACCATGAAAACCTTTGCAATTCACTAAAAACAGTCACGGTAAGATTTGACATGCCACCATCCACACGGGCTCCACTGCTTCCGACTGCCCAAATGCTATGGTTGAGCTCAGACCTGCAGGCTCTTGCAGGGAGGATCTCAGCTGCCAGATTCAGCAGACCCTCCAGCCAAAGATGATGTCCTCAGTCACAGCTTGGTTAGGTGAAGAAGTTAGTGATACATGAAACTAAGCAAGTAGGTCTAAATGCTGGTACACCAACAGCTACAGATACCTGTGTTCCAGTAGGACATCCATACTTTGACCTAGAAATTGTTTCCAAGACAGCATCTCGGTCATAGCCGGTTCTCCCCAAAACAGGTGCTGTCATCTGCTGCTGTGCTACATGGGGTCTGTGCTGCATGGGCAAGCGTCAGGTCTGTCCCAAGTCTGATCTGAGCATGACTTGATATGGATCAGGGCGAGAGAACACCACTGTCAGTCTACATCCTTATCATCCCCATTTTTGCCTCATTAAGTTTGCTAAAGGTGTTTCATTAACAGTTATCAAACTAGAACTAGTTATCAAACTAGCTGCTTACTCATACCATTTATCTATGAACTCCAACCTTTAATAGCAGTCTCACACAACCAGCAAAATGACAGATTCACAGCTGAGACTACAGCTTCCTATTTTGACAGAAATTACAAGATTTGCTACCAAGAACCTGCACATTCTCCATTCACCAAAGAACAAAAATGATGTATAAAACCTGGATCTACCAGCTGATTTCAGGGCTACCATTCAATTATATTTTAAGATGTATGAGCCATTAACCGATTTCTGTTGATTAAGGAAAAGAATACTAATAGCTGCTAACTTACTGCATTTTAGACTGTTTAAACTCCAGTTCACTGCACCTCAGTAAGGCTCTAAAGGAGCAAAATCTTTGTACCTTGCTGCTTAAACCAGGACACCATAACAAGTTCAGTTTAGCCTGTAGCCTATGACTAAAGCATTCCGGTAGGACTAGTTACTCATCCAACTCTGGCAAATAACAGAGGAATGACTTTTGGATTGCAATTTAGACATTGCACATTTACTTTAATAGAAGATACAACACTAATTTTAGTTTGCATAGTACCTGATCGTTCTGGAAGATATGAAAGTGCTTTATAAAGCTATTTCAATTTTCTCCAGAAGTGCTTTCATTTAGAGTTCACTTTGTATCTTTTTACTTTATATTATGTTCTCTACAGCGATTGTTTCTTTTAGAGGAAAGCTCTTCTCTAATGCTTTGCCATAAAAACACAAGCTGTTAACCTTTTAATGTTTGCTATTAACAGCTCGGTAGAATATCGATCATACAAACGATGCTCTAAATACGGCAACTCAGGCTGATGACAACTGTAAGAGGAGGGTTATGTCTGTTGACTTTTTTTCTAATGTGTTTGGAAATGGATATGACTCCAAGACAAGATTAAGGTAATCCCTCCACAAAGCTTTTTTTAGTAAGATGTTAATTGCAGCTGCAACATTACCAATGTGACTTCAACAATCCTTCAGGCAGCACCAGAACACCTTCCTCTGCCATGGAAAAATGGGTTTTACACCACACAAGTGGAACCTTAAAAACACCTCCTTCAGTGACAGGTAGGA